TTTTCCAAATAATGTTTTTTTCTAAGATAGATAACGGAACTTAACCTCTTTTTCTTTGATAGGTAAATATGTTGATTGAATCATGTTTAAACAAAATAGATATGTGAAAAAAAAATGAATAAAAAGCCAAAATAAACAGAAATTGAACCTATAGCTCGAATAATATATATAATGAGTTGAATGTACCAAAATAATTATTTTTAAAAAATAAAAATAACCAAAATAAAAATTTTTAAAGTACACGTATATAAAACTACAATAACTACAATTGATGTTTTAAAAATAAATAATTTAAAGAATAGTATTTAAATTATATTTTTATTTGGAATTAAACTGATTAAATTTATTTGTTTAAATATTCATTAAAATTAAAACAATAGAAAACATTTAGTGTATAATCTTAATTTATTAATATTAAATAAAAACACATTCTTAATTTAAAATTACATGTTTTTATTTTTCATCTTATACAATATTTTGTTTTATTTCAGAAAAGTATATATTTATTCATATAATTTAATTGCAGACCCGACCTAATATATAGGTAGATGAGATTAAAGCCGCTAAATCTAGAAAGTCTCATATTAAAAAAAGAAAATTAAGCAACAAGGAAATGACAAGATTCTATAATTATATTGGGAAAATCATCTTCAATGAATGTAAGAATATATGGAGTAGAGAGAGAAATAGGTCCTGGAACTTAAAAATGATATATAAATTACACAATATTTTGTAGTTTTAAAGTTTAGCAATAATTATTGAAATAAATACGTTACTTGGTATAGATTTACTATAAATTTGTCTACTCCATATTTCTTTTAATTTTTTTATTAATTTAAATTTAAATATACTCAATTTTTATATAACTTGCTTATATAAATTACATAAATATCAAAATTTTAAAAATATTTTTTAATATACCAGTCATTTTATAATTTTACGGGGAATGACCATTATTGTTTATAATTTTCTTATGTAATAAGCAATTTTTGTACCCTTTTTTTTATTATTATTATTTAGTCCTAATAATTAAGCTTAAATTCAAATTTGATGTAGAATACATTGAAAAAACCACACCTATGCATATTTGGAAAGGAAAACAAAAAAGAAAAGAAAAAAGATGTGATGTTTTTTAAAATACTATGGATTAAATTTATTTATTTAATTTGTTAAATGTATAAATATAAAATGTTATGTTTTTAGTTTGTTTATCATTATTATTATTATTATTCTTCGAAACAATATAAATTTGATATAATAAAAAGATTGGATTTTAATAAAATTAACATGGTAAAGAGTCAAATTAACAAATTTAAACATAGGTGGACATTTGAAATATAATAAACATTATTAATATTAATTATAAAAAAACTAAAAAATAATAACAATAAGAGCCAGCGAAGAAAATCAAGCATTAGCACTACAATTTACTTTAAAGATAATTTCTCTTGGAGTTAAATCAAACTTAAAATCTTGAAGATGAACAAATTGTCAAAGAAAGAAGATAAAAGTTATGTTTGGCAAACCTGCTAAATTTCTTATAAAATTTAAACCTAGAGAAAGATTTGAGCTGCCAACAAATATTTCAAATTAAAAAACATAATAATTATAAATAAATATTAAAAATGGATTAAAAAATAGCAATTATAAATTCTTTTTAAAAAATAATAATAGTAACCAAAAAAACCCTAAATCAACCCACACATTAGTCAACATGATTAAACCATCCAACAACTTACGAATTAGAATATAACTTTGGATATATGAATTTCGTGTTGGTATCATATATGTCTTGAGTTGTTTTTCTAGATTAGAGAAAAGGTTAAAAGTGGAAGAAAATAATTTGTTATATAAGTAGAGTATGAATGAGTTATAAAATCTTTTGAAATTTCAAAACTTTTTCAATTCTACGGTTAATTATTATCAGAGAAAAATCATTAATTTCTTTTATTGATTACAACTTTTTTCATATTTCAATTTTGTACGTTCGGTGTAATTTATTTATATGGGATATCTATTATTAAAAGTTAATAAGAAAGAGAAAAGTAAAATTAAATGAGATGGAGTGGAAGAGAGGGAGCTACCAACGTAAAAGACAAAAAGATAAAATAAAAATTAATTAATTAATAATGATAGATGGAGTGGGAGAGAGACAAAAGAACGATAATTTAGGTATTATTAAAAAAATCAAGGTCGTTTATAAAAAAATTTCTTTCACATCCGTACTTTTATATAGATATAGATATAGATATAGATAGGGTGGTTATGGTCGTGACCCCTCCACCTTTTTAGTTGGAACTTGCGAAAAAGATTATTCCTAGAGTCGAGACTAAGAGGAAATGTATAAACCAATGCTTCCATATATTTGATTTCGGTTTACAATTATAGCTTCCATACATGGTTAGTTGAGATCTTTTTTCAGATAAAAAAAAAAGAACAACCCTAGTTGCCATCTCTATATCTGGTTTACTTGTAAGTTTTACGGGGTATGCCTTATATACTGCTTTTGGGCAACCCTCTCAACAATTAAGAGATCCATTCGAGGAACACAGAGACTAGTTGAAGTAATGAGCCTCGGGAGAACCAGCTCTACTATTTCTACTGCTACATTCCTCCCATAGTGCGAGRGAACTTTCATACTACTTCAACTCAAATTATGCCATGTGTAAAGGATTTCTATTATTATTTTAAGTAAAAATATTTTTAGTTTTTATATAGGGTCCACGGACAAAATTATCAATCAGGATCCTACATTCTCTCTTAAATTAATCGTACATTATCTATCTTATTAAATATTTTAGATGTTATTATTTATTTTCACTTTCCTAATTATCTCTAGTCATGTTCATATGTKGGCATTTAAAAATTCATATTAATACAATATGCAATATCATAATGAAGTATACAAATATAAAAACAATCGATATCTTATAAATCAAAATTTGCCTCGCATTAACACATTTGTTAACGAAGTAAATAAAAATAATAAACTCACACGAACCAACAAATAGGGAAAAACAAAAACTCACATTAATATATTTGCCCGATTTTAGTAGAAAAAATACAAATAATATTCAAACCTACTAAAATATTCAACTTTTATTATTATTGTTATTATTATTTTATAAATCTATCGAAACAACCACACAAGATTTTCAGCCCTCGACTAAATAAACATCAAAACAATCTTATTTGAGTGAATAAACTAATAAATTTATTATTTTAAAAATTCATTATTAAAAATTACATGCTTTTATATTTTATCTTATACAAGTTTCTAATTTTGTTTGTTTCATGAAAGTATAATTATGCCAATAATGTATATTTGTACACATTTAATTTAATTGTCTAAATTCATCATTTTTTTTCATGAAGTCTAAATTTTCAATACTTCAAAATAACGTAATGATTGAACTTTGTTTTAAATAGCAAGGATCTAACAACTTGCATCGATTTATATAGAATTTGAATTTAGTTTAAAGTATTGTTAGTTACAAATAGAAAGACGATATTAGTTTATATTAATTGGATAGTGCATGTATCTACGATTAAAATTTCGTGTTCGAACTCCACCCTCACATATTTGTTACTATTTTTAACTAGTTTGATTTTATAATCCCTCGCCACAATCAATTGTGCACACTTTAATCAAAATATAGAGAGAATAATAAGATATTATAAATATCATGATAGAAATAGAASCAAAGGAAGTTTTTGCATCATCTAGTTAAGTTTATATGACAAAAAAGGAAAAATTTAGACATATATTTAGCATATGGATTTGTTCATCCCAAATTATGAATAGGTTAATCCCACAAATTACATAACTTTAGACTTGTGATATTCATTTTCCATTTTATGATTTATGTATTGATGTATGTGAATTTTAAATCAACTGAGGAAATACTCATTATATATACTAAAGTTTATATTAAGCATATAAGTCTCATYTGTATTTGATGTATCAACCTTTTATCGAGTATATACTCTCCTTTTTATCATGGTGCCGCTAACAACATAATTTTTCAACATAGCTCCTCCACCGATAAACCTTTGAACTTTTGTCGTAGAAAAAAAGAACTCTTAAATTCGATCAGTGTTTAATAACTCATGTCCTAACATATTAAAATTTTAAAAAATTCACAAATTAGAGTAAGCCCTTTTATATATATATATATATATATATATATATTTGAACGGTTCAATAAATTTAAGTGTATATATATATTGTTGAACAGTTCAATAAATTTAAGAAAGTATCGGATAGATCATTAACTTGATACGAAATTATAAATCTAAAGTCATATTAGATATAAAGTTGAAAGTTTAAATACTTATTATACGTCAACTGGTCAAAACTATATTTTCGATTCAAAGATCGTGAGTTCGAATCTCTTYATTCCACGTGTTGTACTAAAAAAAATACATATTATACATTATCGTCCAATTAGACATATAATTTTTTTTTGATATTGGTGAATGTTCGAACCAGCTTGCACAAAAACCACCTAAGTCTAATATATTGGTTGCCAAGGTAATTGGTAGAATTTTTTCCAACCAGCCCTTTGCTATTACATAGGAAAAAAAACATGTAATTTTTCTTACAAACCAAATTTTAATGATAGAGTTCATAAAACTCAAGATAAAGTGTGCTAGGACTGTTACCGTCTTCTGTGCGTGGACAAAGGCCGAACTCCAAGAGGTAAAAGATTAAAAACGAAGATTATTCTTATATTAATCAATCAATCGAAGTGCCCATTYTCTCTCGGCTTGCAGATTCCTTGTCTTCTTCAAGCTCAAAACCCTCGAAATTTCATTAGAATCCGCGTTAAGGAGGGCAAGACCTGCTTCCTTCTGTTCCTGCTGAGTTGCTTCCCGTGGGGTTTTCAAGTTTGCGGGCCTTATCGAGGAGTTGCGGCGTTTCTCCATCTCTTTTTCCTATCTGGGTCCGTGACTGTATTGGTTATCAGCTCATTTGATTTCCGCTTTACGTCCTTTTTCTTCTAATTTCAATCATTGTTTTGTTGGAATGGATTTGCAGTTGGCTAAGGCATGGTGATGGATATCCGGTTTAATTTATGACACCAAAATGATTCCGTTAAGGTCAGTTCTCATGTTCCTCCTGCATTCATTATTTCGCATGGCTCTCATCTGTGTTGCTATTGATCTGGGTATCTTTTTTATTTCATCGCAACTATTATCTTGAAGCTGAATTTGTAAAGTAGTGGCTATGTTTGATAGCTGATCTAATTTTCGGTTCCGTTGTTCGTTTATTTGGTAGAAATGGTGCTACTCTCTGATTCGAGACAATTGCGAATTGGATGGGATGATTAATTTCTAATCGATCAATGTAGAGTAAATGGTTTCACATTATTTGATGACAAATCGATTCTGAATGAATGCAACTTCCATTTTCCTGTTTGAATGTATTCCCAATAGGAACTTTCTAATACCTCTACCATTATAATTTACACTTTTATCAAGGATAATAATTAATAATTGTGTCTTCAGTCTTGTATGTGAATTGAAAGAAATGAAAGAGAGAGCGTCAAGAGGGGGAAGGCTTGGGCTCTACGTCTACCTGATACGAAGCCTCCACAATGAAAAAAATTGTCTGTGTACCATTAAAATTAAATGGCTTTTACAAGTAGATTACAAAACAGTGGAAATAGTTMATAAGCAAGCAGTAAAATCAAAATTGTCATCAAACGAGTGTATGTATATTTGTTCAAAACCATAGATGTTTGGGCAAATTTAGATGGGCTCCAACTAACTATTTGGGACAACTAAACACTACAATTTTTTGCATAAAGGAAATTGTAGAACATTAGATATCTTCGTTAGTAGGCATGGTTGGAACACATGACCTCACAAGTATCTGTTTTGCACCTCATCCCTTTGATTATTGAGCCACCCCTAACATCATTTGATATCTTAAAATATCTATAAATTTCATTCTATTGATCTCAAAACATGGTTTCAGAATAAAAACGATATTGAAGGCAGATTGTGAGAGTTAGTAGTTGATAGGGAACTGCGACAATACTTTGGTTTCTTACATTTCATAATGTCTTATTATCTCTAACACTGTGCGAGCAGGGATTTTTGGAGAAGGCATAAGAGGAAGATTTTAATCACAGCTGGTGTTTTGGGAAGTGGGTATTTTCTTTACAGACAATATGATGCTTATAGTCGAAGGCTTCATGATATCCAGAGAGAGTTGGCTAATGAACGTGAAGCAGATGAGCTCATTAAGGCTCAGTTAAGAGATGCTACCTTTTCTTCCCTTATTTTCACCAGTATCGGTTCTCAGAGTTATTTAACTTTTGTGTTTTCTGGATTCATGTTTGTAGAATACAAGCTCATTTTGAGAATATTCAAAGGATAGCTGACACGACAACACTGCCTCATGCTATACGACATTTACATAGTCGGATAGAAGAAGATTTGGATCTTTCTCACCTGACAGAGAGGTTAATGATGGGGAAGGGTCAGCCAAACACTTTGACATTGGCTGAGAAACTTGATTTATGGGAAAACCTCAAAATACTAAGTATGAAGAGGGCCCAGGCCCACTTTGGTGTTTATTCTCTGGTCTTTAACTTATAACTTTTCTCCTTAACTGAAGACTATAAACTTAGATCACTTTGATCGGAATGTGTTTTTCCAGGCTTCACAAAGATGGTTATATCACTCTGGGCAATAACCGTGTTAAGCTTATACATTAGAGTTCAAGTCAACATATTAGGAAGACATATGTACATTGATACTGCTCGTGGTTTTGGTAGCTCCCATTTACTTGTAAGGCCTGCTGTATTTGCCATTTCATATTTTTGTGAACTGTTTTCATTATTGTTCCTCTCGGAATTACTGGATTAGTCATTTTACCTTTAGTTGTTATTTTGGTGCTGTTTTTATCATTTCTTATATAKAAGTGCTGATGATGTTTTCTGCGTGTATCATTAGAAATTTGGATTTATGATTTATGCAATTTTATCCAAATGTTTTTGAGATTTTTTATGAGTTAATAATCATTTAATAACTCAAAAATATTCAATGCTTTAGATTTCTTACTGGAAGTTCTAACKTTACTCCCATATTCAGACTTCATAGAGTGTACCAGATGTTAATCTTCATATAATTTATTGTTGTTGTTGTTATTATTATTATTTTGGTAGCCAGAACATATGTATATTTGCTTAATTGTGTTTGCCATTATTTATGACCTGAGCTTTACATGACTGCGGTTTTGAATACGTTCTATGAAGAAAGAACTATTAGGAAAGGTGGGATGCAAAGTGGTTCCAGCGGACCAGTGGTATCTCTGTTCTGTAAAGGAAAAACAAATGTTCTACAGTGTGGAGTGGATGTGTTATTTGTTTCACCAATAAATAAGTAATCATTCTACAAAATCTAATAACCAGTAATTCGTATAATCCTGATCCAGTATGCTGCACCTGCATTTATTTTGCTAACATGGATGTCAATGCTTTTGCCAGTTGTAAACTTCTTAGAATGATGTGAGACGTTAAATGTCTTAGATATCATAACTAGAAAGTTGTGCAGTCTATGTTCTTTTTTAGTTATTCTTTGATTCATTGTCTACTTTTCTGAAATATTAGTCCTTGTGGTTCCTGATTCTGCAGGAGGAGGCTGATCTCATCGATAGGGACGACCAGCAGAAATTTCTAGCCATCTCTGATTTCCTCTCCAATTATGGTTTGAATGCCTTGATTCCTAAAATGCAGGTAGCAGTAGCAGAAGTTCTCAAGAGGTAAGAGGCTCGTTTGAATATAGTTTCAGAAAAATGCTTGAAACTTTCACAAGTATACATGTACATCACATCAAAGATATTCTTGTAAAATGGTATCTAGAGATCCCAAACGCCCCCCCATAGTGACCTAAAATATCATGTTCCTTAACTATTTTCCTGTTAAACCATTTTGTCATGCATATGAATCACACAAGTGGAAGTTTTTTTTTTTTTTTTTTTTTTTTAATTATCTGGGAACTGAGATTATTTCTTCATAAAACTTTATTCAAGTTCAAGACCAAATTGTGTTACTGATTCCAAGCTCTTCCATCAAGAAACTTGATGAACTGAAGCATAGTTATCCTGAAGCTTTGTTTGATAATGTTTTACGGAGATTATGTCTGATTGTACTATGTCTTTTATATCTCATCATTAGTATTCTTTATTGGTTCTTGGTTGCAGAAAACAGTTGCGAGATGTCTTTAACACAACTATACTTCGCGAAACTACAATGCAAATAATCAAAATCTTCATGAGCACAGGAAGTCCCCATCATTGGTTGGACTACTTGATGCCTGAGGACAATCAATCAAATATTAAAGCCGTGCTCTCCACCGATGAGGATGCAGCTGATCCAAATTTTAATAAGTTTGACCAACTTATGATGGAGACTAGAGCAGTGTTACTAAGGTATGATGATTATAAACCAACAGTCACCATAATGAATGTAGATGAAAGGCTCATAATCAATTTTACCAGGAAACATGCATGGAGTTGTGAAGGTTAATTTACAAGTTACGTCCCTGATATTTAGTCTCTATTTTATAGACAATAAAGTGTCTAATGAGTCTCTAAACTTTCAATTTTGAGTCTAAAGGTTCAAGAATGAAAAAAAAGGTAAGTTATGGACTTGTTAGGCACTTTTAAAGTTCTGTAACTTATCAAACACAAAATTGTACACCTATTTAAAATTAATGGATCTATTAGACACACTCTTATAAGTTCAAAAACTAACTTACAATTTAACCGGTTTGAATGAACATGAAAATTGTGCAGGGGTCAGAATTACTTAAAAACCATTACTGTTTGCAGTGTAAAATGCTTGCTTAAAAATGCATTTCTTCTGTAATCATGCTTCCTTGATACTTCATACGAGTTTTTCGTCGATCCTACATCCTTTAAGTTGATGCAATATCATCGCTCAAGCATCCACCCAGACGAATGTAAATGGAAGTTTCTTTCTACTAAAGATGTATCAGTTTATTCTCTCTCCTTTTCTGGGTTCAGTGCCGAATTTGGGAACGTAGTGGAGAGATCGTTAGAAGCAGGAGCTGATGGATTGATGGAAGAAATGGAGGCTTCGCTTGCAGGAGGCAGCAGTAGGACATCAGGGATACCACTGGCAAGACTTGTGCCAAGAGTTGCCCAGATGGGGCCATTGCTCCTTGAAGATCCAATCAAAAGTAGATTCATCCAAATGATAAGAGGTATACCAGAAGCGGAAATCTTCTTCACTCTCCTCTATGCAAATATGCCTGCCTCCTAGAAATAAAGGCCCTGGCCATGGCTTTGCATCCACATTCTTGCCACTTCATTATTAGGTTCTTGTTTTGCTGTGGGGTTRCACATCTTTGTAAAAATGTCTCTGGCTTCCTTCGGCCTTGGCTTGGATCCTTGGAACCTTCACAATTTGAAAGGAGAACTTGGGGTAAGATGGTGAGAATTTAYTTGATAATAATTTTTGAAATTCTTTCGATTCAATGTTTGTTGGTTCCATGCTTTTAATATGATTTGAAATTATGATTCTACGTCTAGAAATCTAGCTTTTACTAGCAGGTCTTATACTTCGCTTCTTAAAAATAATGCCCCTAAGAGGCAAGCTTTGTTGGCTGAGGTCCACGCCCACAGAGTAACACCTACTCGAAGGTCACAGGTCATGGGAAAATTCCTCAACTCTCTCGAGTTTGGGCTTTGGGGCGAGCACATACTTTTTAAATTAAAAAGCTCAGTGTAAAAATAAATTGTCTGATTGACAAATATTCTACTTCATAAACTGTGTGTCTTGGGGATAATTAGGTTGAAGTTGCAAGTTTGCAGTAATGAGATAAATGACTTGTTTTAAATTTTGAAGTGATTTAGGTTAAAACATTAATAACCTTCCATCAAATTAGAGGATCTTATATCCATTGTTTAAACTGATGTTGAAGCCATCGAAAGTATTTGTCATTCTAAATCATAGTTACTATTTTTTTTTCCCGAAGAAATAAATCTCAGTCACTGTTATTTGAACACATCTTACATTTTTTTCATTTTTCTTGATTACTTGAACMTTGGATCAAATTCTTGAGGAATACTGAACCTTTAAACAAGGTTGAATTAATGATATGTTGTAAAATTGTTRATGTCTTTTAATTATTACTTACAAAATATGAGACACCATATAAAAATCAAAATATAACTTAGTCATTATGTTCTACCTTCAGTTTTTATTACATTTTTATATTAATGTCAAATTTTTTTGTTGGAATATTTGATTTAGATCCAAGTTTGAAAATTCCAATCTTAAACTTGTAATTAACCTTGATTGTAATATAAAAACAATAATAAAAATATCACAAATAGAAAGATATTAATAAATTAAAGTATGGAGAGCAAAGATATAATTTGGTATTATTTAAATCATCCAAGTATTACGTTTGAAGAAAAATTAAGTCCATTCATCTTCATCAAATTAGAGGATTCAAATTCCACTGCCAATCATGGTATACAGAGGATTTGATCCGCACCCGATATTCTATGGATGAAAGGAAGACGAAGAACCTTCCTCTTCGGGCAAAGAACACCACCATCACTGGAAGTAAATAGCGACCATGAGTTCACTCGTAATGGCGGCTTCCACCTTCAGCTGGTTCGCTTCGAGTTCATCACCAAAAATCTTCCCTAAAACCCCTTCTAATGCCAACCCGTCATACCCCATTTCATTCAAATCCTCGAATCAGCCTTCACTTTCAAGATTGCTGAGAGTGAAAACATTGGCAGCTTTGGATGGAAAAGACCCAAATGGAGCAGCCCCTCTTCTGGTAGAGGAAGAGAATTCCAGCAGTGTATGTTATCTTTTTGCTTTGATATTTCTCTACTCGGTTTGAATGACGTTTATATGAGTTCTATCGAAGCCTCTGGTTGSTTACTACCGAATTGCACGAGGATAGTAATAAATGGATTCAAATCTGTGATTTCTGAAAGCTCTTTTAGAACTTCAATTTGGAAAGAGTTGTTCAATTTTGGAAGTTGTATAGAAGAATGAAATACGTTATATTCGTTAGGTTGTATGRTCAACATTTTTCTACCTCTCTCTCTCTGTTCACGCACTGCTTCACAATTCAAAGTTTAAGTCAAATGGGGCTGTACTAATAATCTATGACCAATTGACTCGTGTAGCTTATTATGGATGAGGAAGTGGAAAAGAGTGTCAAATTGCTAAAAAGTGCGGCAAAGACAAGACGGGTAGCAGCAGAAGAAATTCTGTCAGCCCTTTCCATAATTGAGAAGGCAAAACTTGATCCTTCAAGGTTTTTTGACACACTTGGTGGAACAAGCTCTCCCGGGAGAACCTGGATGCTTATTTTCACAGCTGAGGTTGATTTTGTTTCCGTTTCTTTTCCTACTTTAGAGTATTTAATCATTCCCATATTCTAATTTCTGGATTTTAGTACTGAATTGCAGAAAAAATTGGAAAAGGGGCGGTACTTTCCTCTCACAGCCATCCAGAGGTTTGATGCCGCTGTAAGTTTATCTGTCTCTCTATGGATTTTGCTCTCTGATTTCCACATTTACTTTTTAAAAAGATTGAATGAATTTATATGTTTACAAACTTTAGCGTGTAATAAGAACAGAAGCCTAGGAATGCTCTCATTGACTTTTCAGATCTTTTTTCTTTAAACTGATTCACCACTTCCTGGATTTTTAGGGAAAAAGAATAGAGAATGGAGTGTATCTGGGGCCTGTTGGAAGCTTAACATTTGAAGGTAGACTTTCATGGAAGAATAGAATACTGGCGTTCATTTTCGAGCAAATTCGGATAAAAGTTGGACCTTTAAGCCCTTTAGAGATAAATCTTGGTAAAAAGGAAGAAAGGGAGCCAAGCAGCAAGGATCCTTTCTTTATCTGGTTTTATGTTGATGAGGAAATAGCTGTTGCTCGTGGTAGAAGTGGGGGAACTGCATTCTGGTGCCGGTGTCGCCGTGTCAATAATTAGTTTCCTTTCTTCAAACATTTGACCTTTTTGATTTGTACATTTGGATATGTATACTTGTGTGCTGTAACTCACTGCCATATTCAAATGTTAAATGTATTATATTTGTTAAGAACATTTATATCCTTCGCTAACTCTGAGCTTCACCTCTAGAGAAATCTATGGCATTCCATTCTGCRTTGAATTTTTTTTTTGTAGAGCATACTCTTTGCAGCAGCCACAGAAAGTTGTACCATGATTTTCAGGCTGTTTTCTCAGGTATCTGTCACTTCCTTTTCGATTTTTCTTGGTCATAAAGTGTTTGGATGTAGCAATCGAGTCTTGATTAAGTTATTAAACTCACCTTAGGTTTCCCTCTATTTCTCTAAAATTTGGTGTTGGAGGCTGGTGCCRATGGTTATTTCAATGATTGTCTATCATTTTGAGATTCTGATAGGAATGTCTTTAGAGTAATTAGGGATTTTTTTTTTTTTTTATGCGAAACAATACTTTCATCGAGAATAATGAAAAAGATACGAGAGCTACAAAAAAGCCTACAAAAGGGCATAAAAAAACAGCCCTGAAAGAGGAGATCCCCTGCAAAAAAGGATTCCAATCGAAATGAATAAGGCCTAGCGAATAATTACAAAAGGGCTTAGAAACCGAGCCCCATAAAGAAATGTTAAAATTAGGGATATTAATAAAATAGTAAGAGTTTGTTAGTAACTAGATAAGAAATTGGTTAGTATGGATTTGTTATAAATAGAGTGAGGGATAGGGAAAGAAGGTAGGCAAATGTTTAGTATGATTTAGGCCTTAGTAAAAATACTCAAGAAGAGGGGAGGATCCAAATRCAACGAATTACTTCGTTAGTTATTGTAGTTCTTCTATCTTTTATATTTCCATATGTTTCTAGTTGTTTGGGTTCTATCAGATTCAAATGCAGTTGAACTAACAAGCGGTAAACTCAGTTGTTTGCCAATGAGCTATCCTGTTCATTTTTCTTAAATTGTTGCTGGAAGTTCTTAATCTTCAACTCATATTATTAATAGCAGGTGCACCTTTGGGATGAGGACCTGTCCTGATTTCGAGGTTTGTTTTTCATATTGAACTTCATAGTACATCACATTTTTGTTTGGAATAATCAATCTATTCTTTTGTATGTGGTAAAATATTATGATTGAGATTGTGCAGTCCTGAAATTTATGCAAAAGCAAGTCGTGGAGTGATGGATGGTTTTGATGCAATCAGTCTAGACCGGAAGGAATTAGTTTCTATTAAAAAATAGTTGTTTTAATTTCTTTTGTAATTTATTTTGTGATGAATCCATGTTTACGTATTAATTTGGCGAAAAACAATCAAATAAACAAAACAAAAGAGATGTAAAGACTTGAATAGCAAAACAGATGCACTTCACTTCACTCCAGGCTATCAAGCACTAAGCAGTAAATATTCAAACACAAACACCTCTGATGATTTTTTTCCTATGGACTTGTTTCACTCTGACAAGTTTTATATATGTGTGTGTGTATATATATATATATATTTTTTTTTTAGACAAAAGACTTTTTGAAATGAAATATAATTGTAGGATGAGGCATCTATTACTTATTCGCAGCTAACGACCGGGCGTAGCTCAGACTGCCCTTGAAGTTGTTGACAAGATTTTCTCTGGGTGGGAGGGATTCTTTGATAACTGGAGTGTGGATGAAGTTTTGAGCCCATTCATGAAGGGATGGGACTCTCTCTTTGTCAAACACCTTCATTTCTCCAACTTCATCAAGAACATCGAGCCAGTGGCACATCCAACCTGCAGCTAGATCCAGGTAATTGATTTTCTCTCCTCCAAAGAATCTTTTTCCTTCGATTTCTATGTCAAGCAATGCCAAATTTTGTATTGCAGCCTCTACAGCCTTCTCCTTCTCTTCTCCTTCAGCCCGGCAAGCTTCCCAGGTACCAAACAGACACTGGATTCAGAAAAATATGGTAAAGTATATTAGTCTGAGAAGCCATGATCCTGTGAAGGTGCAGAATTGGAGTGCATCCAGTTTTATCATTTAAAACCATCCATTTAGTCTGAAGGTCTAAATTTTGCAAAATTAAACTCATTTCTCTTAATGTTAATGTATTGAAAAAGAACTTATACCCAGCTGATGTGTCATATCTAAATCACATACTTTAATGAAACTGGAGGAGAATCCTTAGGGGTTCGTTCGAGAATTTGTTTCGAAAAACAGTTCGAAGTGACGACTTATAAAGCTTAAGGCTATTGTACAGCCAAAGTCATTAAGAAGTCCACGATTTTAGTTATTCTATAAAACCATGTTGTCCATGAAATGATGAAAATAAACCAGGAGAAAACAAGATAAACCAAACTTAGAACATGCTGTCTTCTTAACTGTTGTCTCAAGTGCGAGGTCAAAAGGGACTTTGGTTACCTTCTCATCTATAAACTTGGCCCAGAAGCGAGCTGTGGCTCTTTCATATGGCCCTTCAGGCAAGATCGGGTTCTCCTTCCACGTCTCATCGATGTACTCGAGAATGAGAAGCGACTCGGAGATGGCTTTGCTGTTGTGCAAGAGCACAGGGATTTTCTTGAGCACAGGATTGGACTTGAGAAGCAGCTCGCTTTTGTTTCTCAAGTCTTCCGCTATGTACTCGTACTCAATTCCTTTGAGCTTCAAGGTCCATTCAACCCTTATGCAGAAGAGGCTTGAAGCTGATCCAATAATCTTTACCTCTGCCATTGTTGGTGATCCTTAGCTTCAAACTCTTGCTTTTATAGTCTCTGTGTTGCTCCTGAATGATATATGATTGTTTTTTCGGTCTAAATTTTACCTTTCAACTGCAGGAAATGGCTTCTTTTACAGGGAGATGGAGTCAAAAGGAATGTGGTAACGAATTTTTCAACTGGAGTCCAATCTTCAACTACTGTTATGGAGAACAGGTTTTTGTTCTTTTCAAAGTAAATGGAACTAAAAAATATGTTAGGATAAATGTTTGTTTAAAGTTTTTTTCTTTTGTTAACTTGCACGTTTAGTCTTTGAAATAGGTTTTGAACCTTAAAAAGTGTCGAGATAATGTACTAAATTGATTTAAATATGTGGAATGTATGAAAATTGGAGCTCCTGGAAGGATTCAAAGTCTGCCATGAAAATAAAGACCAAGTATTTTCCTTATTATAAAGAAATGTTCACATTCTCCATTGCCACATCAGTGCTTGCGATATGATCTCTTGCTTCTCTCTCCTCTCTTCTTCACTTTTACCCGTATTGAAATATATATATATATATGACATTTCATTTCATTTAACATAATTTTGTTGTTTCACTCAACTCATTCATCCCGAAAAATAATAAATACTTTTACAGTTTTCATACCATAGTTTTTTTTTTTAATTCTCGAATTTATCTTTAATGTACAGAAATTTTCAATTAGGCTACTTGGTAACCAAAATAAATAGTATCATTAAATTACTATATTTAAATACTTGACATGCCAGCCATAATATCATACGAAGTCTAACTCTTATCAACAAGTAACTTTCAAAATATGTATTTTAATCTCATAACTTTCACAAATTGATGTATTTGATATATTAAAAAGAGTTCTATTTTATTAATATATAAGATATACTAATAAAATATTAGTTAAAAAATAAATTTATCTCTACCCGCTGCAGTAGGAACTATTTAGTCCATTTACGTTAAAATTGGTTATAGTTTAGTCCTGTTGTTAAATATTATGATAAATTTAGTGGAACTTTGACATTACTATCAACAATGGGTGGGTTTAAGATTGAATCAGTGTTCAAACTTGAGTTGTTTAAAAAATAAAAAGTTAAAAAAGAAAGAGAGAGAAATTAAACTCCTCCCCACCCTTTCGCCGGTGATTCAGGGGTGTTTTTCCGACGCACTACGGGTGGAATTCTTCAGTGGAGAGCATTGCGTTCGGAACGCCGGCGGTGGCGTTTCCGCAGTGGACATATCATCCGGCGGGAGCTTAAAATCTATGAAGAAGAGAGATAAATTTGAGAACGGGAAAGTTGGAGAAGAACAACACTGGAAATGGTGAGAGACACTGGATTTCTTAATTGATTTTGCTCTGTGTCTTATAAATAATCCTTTGCTTTTGGGGAGTTGTCGGAAGTTGAGGGGGAATTGTGATGCGCCGCGAAGAGCAGGGGAAGATTTTTTGTGAAGCAACACCGAGAAATGTAAGGAACTGCCCCAGCAAATCGGAGCTTCCAAAATGATGGGGAGTGTTTAATTTTTCTTTCTTTCATTTTTTAATTTGTTAATTTTTGGACCGGCTCAAGTTTGAACCTAAACCGACCTATACTTGACAGTTATGTCAAAGTTTATGTTAAATTTAAGATTAAATTATAATAAAGATTAAATCGTTAGTTTTTGAAAATTCATTAAAGAGATTAAATGTGTTTTTTAACCTAAGATATTTATTTGAATAAGATTTAAATAATATAAAATTTTAATATATGAGATATTAAGAGATTTGATGGACTAAAGATCATATTTGATAAAAATTATATTTTATTAATATATAAGATATACTGATAAAATATTCATTTGAATAAGATTCAATTTGATATAAGATTTTAGTAAATGAGATATTAAAAGATTTTATTTAAAAATTCTATTGTATATGTGATATAATAATAAAATATTTATTTGAATAAGAATGCCACGAGTCTATAAATAGAACTCTTGGGTAAGCCAAAGATATAGAATTCTCTCCCATCTTTCTCTGCGGAATAAGTTTTCCTTAGTTTTATTTCAAGCGTGGAAGTCAAATTGAGGATTCTATAAAGGTAATTTTCTTAACTTCTAGGTCATAATTTAGATCTAAATAAAAATGCTAAGGTCAATCCAAGATTTCTAAATGGTTTAGAAAATCAGAATTCCCGCTGAATGATTTGTTTTAAAAGTTCATAACTAAAATAGGTCTAAAATAATTATTTTTTAAAATTTCAAATATTAAAAATATTATTTTAAAAATCAAAACGGAAGGAATAAATAAGATACGAAAAACAAAAATCTAGGGAAGATATTTGCTATAATTTAGGCCGTGGCTTGGCCAAACTATCGATAAGTTGTTCGTTCGAGGAGGGAAAGGGAAAATCGTCGAACCAGGTCGTTCCAAACCCTAATCGGATCAGATTTCTTAATTTTGTATAATTAAAACTTATAAATTATAGGTATATACGTATCTTTAAGAAAATTAAATTCATATTTTTTAAATATATATAGATATATTAAATAATAAAGAAAATTTGATGAAAAAGAGAGTTATATTTTATTAATATATAAGATATAGTAATAAAATATTTATTTTAATATTGAACTTTTAACGTATGATCCATTAAAAGATTTGATTTGAAAATATAAAATTATATTTTATTAATATATAAGATGTAAATAAAATTCAGATATATAAGATTTTAGTATAGGACATATTTTTTTAGTACAATATGTTGGGGTGGGGATTCGAACTCACATGCTCGCTATAATGATAAGATATTTATTTGAATGATTATAAATAGTTTTTAGCTTTCTATAATGATAAGATATTTATTTGAATGATTATAAATAGTTTTTAGCTTTCTTTGAAGGTGGAGCGATTCTAGAAAGGTAATTTTTTTTATTCCTAATTCATAATTTAGTTCGAAATTTAATGCGGATCCAAAGATTTCTAAATGGGTTATAAAATCAAAATTTTTATATAACTAAAATAGGGCATATAAAGGTTCAAGATATGAAAAAATAAATTATTTTAGGGAAGATATTAGGAATGATTTGGGCCGTGGGCTTGGCCCAACTTTCGATTTAATAAATTTTCAAGTCATCCCTTCGGAAAAAAGGGGGAAATCCTTGAACCAGCCGAAAGAGGCTGCTTTTCCACGCTCTCGTCTCGTCTCTCTCTATCTTCAACGGCTTTCTTTATGCTACGAACTGAACTCCACACTCACCATGTCCAAACCCTAATTTCGTCGGACTTCCTTGGAGAATGGTTCTCTAGACAATTATTTATTCCGATCCTATGCGTCTCTTGTGAAGCAGGAGTAATTTGGAGGCAGCAATGTCTGAGCTCGATCCATCAAAGAAAGTAGCCGATAGATATCTAAAGCGCGAGGTTCTCGGGGAGGGTACCTATGGTGTTGTATTTAAAGCCATTGATACTCAGGTACGTCTTTGTCCAGCTCTCTATTTTTTTTTTCCTTTTACGATTCTGCATCTAGTGTTACGAGGCTCCTTGTGACATGGCTTTCTTTGCATGAAAGTTAATCACGGTTTCGTTAATTCGAACGACGACATGGGAATAGAGAAGAGAAGAATAAGAATAATTCGGAAAAATATAATTTAATTTGCTCCTCGATTGATTTTGGTTTCTTTGGTTTTGTTTCATTGTGGTCGAGTGCCCGGTTCTTTTGCCCTTAGATGTACTAAAATGTAAAAATCGTTTTTCTTCACTCGAGCTATATCTCACCGTAGCTGAATGGATGTCAAGGTGTAAAGGGGGCGGTTCTTAGGTTTACTTGCCTTAAATTCTGATAGTTAGATGTCTGACAATCGAAACTAAAGCTATATATTAATTTCTATTAGGTCAACAAATTAGGGTTTTAGCTTGTTTTATCAACTTTCCTTTTTTACTTTTTAGACTGGTCAGACGGTTGCAATCAAGAAAATTCGGCTTGGGAAACAAAAAGAGGGAGTAAATTTTACAGCTCTTCGAGAAATCAAGCTGCTAAAAGAGCTCAAGGATCCAAATATAATTGAGTTAATTGATGCATTTCCTCACAAAGGAAATTTGCATCTTGTATTTGAATTTATGGAGACGGACCTCGAAGCTGTGATACGTGATCGGAACATATTTCTTTCCCCAGCTGACATAAAATCATACCTTCAGATGACGCTGAAAGGCCTTGCTTTTTGCCACAAAAAATGGGTTTTACATAGGTATCAAACTTTTGTATAACATTAATATTTTCTCTGTTGAGTCGTTTAAAATGTATAGCATTTGCATACTTGTGCTTTACTAAAGATGTTTACTTGTACTTTATAGGGATATGAAGCCAAATAATTTGTTGATAGGATCAAATGGTCAACTGAAACTTGCAGATTTTGGTTTGGCTCGGATATTTGGGAGCCCAGATCGCAGATTTACTCACCAGGTATATTTCTTCTCCCTCTTTTGCGTTATTGAGCAATGCAGGTAAAGATTCATTGCTCTGGAATTTCTCGACTATAATTCGTTATCTGTAGTAGCCATTGCTCTTAAAGCTACAGATATTAAATGACCTTGTAATGTATCAGGAACATAGAGTTACTTTTTTCAATATAAAATGGCATAGTCGCAGAACCCATCTACATTTTATTGAAGCTTAATGTTTGATTCTATCCCTGAATTTCTGTGTATCTCAATCGTAACCAGTATGTCTGTGATACTTGAAACAGGTTTTTGCTCGATGGTACAGAGCACCTGAGCTATTGTTTGGCACTAAGCAATATGGTTCTGCAGTGGATGTATGGGCTGCAGCTTGTATTTTTGCTGAACTACTCCTCCGTCGGCCTTTTCTTCAGGTAAGTCAATATGTATAACTATAAATGATCGCTTACACGATGCTGTTCAACCCATGAGATTCAAATAAACTCGTTTAAATAGCTTTAGTATATACTAGATCTTATTCATAATACTTAGTCACTCACAATTTTATTCCGGTATGTTTTCACTTGTTCTTGTTGGATTGCATGTATTGCTATATAAAATAGAGTTAAGCTCAGATTGGGTTTCTTGTATTTCTTTAGAGTTTTGATTGTTTCTCAAGTCACATCTATTGCTTATAGGGTTCGAGCGACATTGATCAATTAGGGAAGATCTTTGCAGCTTTTGGAACTCCTACCCCTTCTCAGTGGCCTGATATGCTGTATCTGCCTGATTATGTGGAGTTCCAATATGTTCCTGCACCTCCTCTTCGATCATTGTTCCCTATAGCTAGTGATGACACACTGGATCTCCTATCGAAGATGTTTGCTTATGATCCGAAATCTAGGATTTCCATTCAGCAAGCATTGGAGCACAGGTTTCATTTTTAATAATTTGAAAATATAATTTAGAAACCTATAATTCTTTTGGATGCATTGCTAACGTTATTTCTCTTTCAGGTACTTCACATCTGCACCGCTCCCCACAGATCCTAGTAAGCTTCCAAGGCCTACTTCGAAGCGTGAACCTGTGAACTCTAGAGTCTCGGACTTAAATTCAAATGAGGGTCCCATTGTCCTCTCACCCCCAAGGAAGTCAAGAAGAGTAATGCCAGAGCGTGAGGGTTTTGAAGGAAATGCACATAGAATTGATAAGCATGATGACCATGTTAATGAGTTGCGAGAGGTAGCTGCTGAAAACACAAGCAAGAATGAACCAGTGCCAATGTCATTAGATTTTTCTATTTTTGGTGGAAAACCTCCAAATAGACCAACAATCAACAGGTAAAATGTTTTTTTTTTCTGCCATAATATTTTTATTGTGTAAAATACAACGTAGATTGCCTGCCTTAGCTTGAAAATTGGTTTAAAACCCTGGTGTGTAGGAGATATGGGCCTTCTTGAATGTAATCTCAATATATCATACTCAGATTTGAATTGAATTAAAGTTTGACATGTAGTAGTCTTAGAAGTTCTCATATTGGAGATGCGAACTTGATGTTTTGAGATGGTTGGACCAAATTTTATTTGATTTTTTAATTCGGAGTACCTTCTCTGGCTGTGTTTTTCTTTGATAACTAACTATAGCTATATAGGTAGAGAATTGGTCATCTTTGTGCGTTATTGAATTTTTCTCTTTTGAGGTGTTTGTTTCAACCGACTTGTGAGGTTTTTTGAAATCACAACCCATCAGCATCATATGAAGATCTATACTAATATTACATAAAATTAATTGTTAACCCTTCTAAAAAAATTGTTAACATATTTGAGGGATTAATTAATTGGTCAAAGACAGCTAGGAGGATTGCCACTTTTTCCCCCTTTCTGATAAGAAATAAAACATATCACCAATGATATAACAATATGAAATTTAAGTATGAATCTTGAATAGTTTCTGTTCTTTTGTCCCATTTTTGCAGTGCTGATAGATCACATCTGAAAAGGAAATTAGATCTTGAATTCCAGCAATAAGAAGATTCTATATCAGTGTACTGCAAGATGAATTCGGCCTTTCAATTGAATGCTGGCCTGCATTTATGAGGTACGATTTCTTTGGAGTTTTTTTTTAACAGTCCTGTAATCCCTGCAGGATCTTTTAGTTAGTTGTTTTTATTAAAATGTAAAGTCATTGAGAAAAAAATGAAAGAATACGAGGACACAAAAAGAAAAAGAACTGCCTAACCCAGAAGGGGCCAAACTAAAAAGGGGCTCCAATCAAGCACAATCAAACCTAAGGGATAATTACAAAAGTCCTCAAGTGCTGATACCCAAAGAGAGACATGAAATCTAACTAGGTCCTCTGCCACTCTCCTATAGAAGATGCAACGCCGTAGCCGTAGGTAGCCCTATCAGCCCAGAAACTGCCCTAAAAAAATTTGATCTTGGGGTTTTAACCTTCCAGAAAATTTGGTCTTGGACATTTTGACCTTCTGCAGCAAGGAGAAGATAGAGTTGCTAGAGGGAGAGGGGTTCACCAATCAGTGAAAAAAGATCTACAAGAGAACCATCTCATTGAAGTAATAGAGGCAGTCACCGATCAAAGATAGAAAGGCCACAATATCTATTGGTTCCCTATCAGACAATGGACGATGGAATTCAAGGTCTATAGAGGAAGAGCTCTAAAAAGTAAGGAAGAATCGAGGCCACCAAGTGGTTCCTCTTAGTGGACAAATGGAATAAGCGAGGAAACAAAGAGCAGAGGGGTCTATCCCCCAACAACTTATCCTACCAAAAATATGGATCATTTCATCCCCCATTGAACATTGCACAAACTGGGAAAACAAAGGAAGCTCATTAGAAATAGCCTTCCACATATTTCTAGAGGTGCCTTTTGAAGTTCCATTTGAGAACTGGTCAAAAGGATGAGGACTGTGCTTACTATAATTCTGTTTTAGTTTAGTTGTTCATGAAGCACTGACAATTTAGGCATACCCTAAAACGTAATAGTAAGCTCACAAGACTAGTGTAAGAAGTTCTAATGTTTCCATTGTACTTTTTTCCCTTGGGATTTGGAGATTGGAATCTTGGGGTGTGGCGGGGATAGTGGGCTGAATATGAGAGATAATAAGGTTTCCCCCCCTTTATTTTTCTTTTCCCAGCTAGTTCTCTTTTTAAAAGGTTGAGTGTTTTTTTTTTCCGATTGATTAAATATTTCAGGTAAATATCCTAACATATTGCTCTTTGGTTGTTTTTTTAGGGCAAATTATGGAGCTACTTCCAAGACTGGCCGGATAAATTACCTTTCACCCTCTACTCCTCGAGTGACTGCCAAGTTATACCAGTGTTTCATTATGTAATTTTCACATATAGAGCTAATTTAAGTTGATTCATTTGATACCATTTGTGCTACAATTCGGTTTTGGAAGTGTAACACTCTTACAGCTCTATTCGGTACACAGTAACAAAATGAAATAAAAATTATACATTGTGCAAAGATTCACTGATGTTCCTTTAATCATACAAGGTAATTGTTATTTGATTAGTTTTGCTTGTTTTGGATCTCTCTTGTTGTAAAGGTTACCATCTTTCGAGATGGCTTTACCAGAAAAGAAAAAGAAAACAAGAAAAATATCCAAAATTGACACGAGATGAAATGGTTTTCAAATACTGCATTAGGCTGTTATAGCCATTGATGTAATCCCAACCATGGAATGATTTTTTTCTTCATAGGGGCAGTTTCAAAATATGAACTTCAATCAGATAGTGAGGCAACAGATCTTTGTAATGCATAATGATGGGTGATTGTTGAACTGGAAATGTTCCCGTAAACTGTTAGATTGATCCTAAATTGTTGAACTAAAACAGTGCTGCTCTTTTATGATCAGATATGGACTTGTTACCTGTGAATTAATTGTGACGTTTTTGTAGGTCTAACCAATTCCAAATTCCAAGCCACAGTTGAGATGAATGGATCAACCTCTCTAGAATTTTTCAAATTTACCCTCTTAAATATATATTTAATAAGCAGTTAAAATAATCAATATGAAAAAATCCTTAATTTATTATCATACTAGAAGTTATCGTACTAATGAAGATAATTATCTTCTCTTATATACCCATGATCATTCCCTTTCTAATATAATGATCATGACAAGGCAATACATGACTTCACTTGTAATTAAATGTTTGTCATGTTCATTCAATAGCCTATAAAATGAACTATAGAGTTCAAATATAATGGTACATCATTTCCTTTTTGGAACCATTGATTTGCAAGGAATTCTAAATCGTATTGATTTTTAATAATTTGAAATCACAAATAATTTAAAATCAGTTTTTTGTAAAATAAAAAAAACAAATTTCATTCAAATAGGTCGGATTTGGAAGGATTTGAAATTAAAATGTAATAAGTTACAAATTTACCCTATTTTTAGGAGAAAAATAGATTTTCCATTTTTTTTAATTTATTCACATCACTCTACCCTAAACCCATATAATTATTTTATGAATATGCAAATTGTCAAGTACACTACAATTTTTTTTTCTCTTTTATCTTTCTACATCCGAACCATTCAATCAAAATCTAATCTAAGTTGATTTCCTATTTTATTTGATGTTCTCGATTAGTTAAGGTCAAAAGAATTTCAGTTCCAAATAAGATGGATTTGCAAAGGAATAGGTTGCTTAATACATTTAAAATTTTTCTTTCATTTTATATATATATATATATATATTTTGAAGTATTGTTTTGTAATTCTTTTGGAATGTTGTGTTTTAATGTGACATTTGTTATGTTCGTTTTTTTTAAATAAGGAAGTATGAGCACACCCGTCAAACAAAAAAAATTGAAAAATACGAAGGAAAGTGGATTAATGATTTAAGTTTTTTTAATTATGAGTTTAGATTTTAAAATATATATTTCAATAGAAATATTTACAAATATTTTTTGCCCTTTTTTAAAAAAATGTAATTAAAAGTTTTAATTTATTAAATTGATTTTATTAAATGATTATATTTTATATGAAAATATTATATTAATATTACAAGTGCATAATAGTCTAGTCAAATGATATACTTTCTTTTCAATTCTGGTTACATCCAAACAATAAATTTTAATTTCAATTATTTAGAATCAATTTGGTTCTAAACACAAGTGAAATTCGAAATCATTTCCATCATTTAAAATGTTGGAATTTGAAATTATTTTCTATCAATTCCAAAAGGTGGAAGGGAGCATAAAGCTTCGTGGGTGTGGGTAGCTGGAATAATTTCCAAACATGTGAAAACTGAGAAACCAACTTCAGGAGCAAAAATCTTCGGCTAGTTTTCGTCCAAGAGTCAGTATTGCAAAAAATGAGACTTTTGAGTATCGAGAAATTGATTACAAAGCTTTTCCACCAAGAAAACTCCAGTTTCATGAGACGACATTCACTGGAATTATTGCATCGTGTACTCGCTTTGTAGCGATCTCGGCCTGAATATGACGATGAACGAATGCATTAGGAACATCAAATTTGGAATGAAGGAAAGTTGAGATTTGAGTCGAGAGTTTTACTTCTTGGTCCCAGTTGGTGCGAATTGTAATGATAGCAAGAGAAAGTGTTTGGACAAAGAGTGCACAGATGATGCCAAACCACAGCCCCTGTTAAGGACCATTTTCAATAGAAAATGGTTTGAAAAATTATGGTCAGTAAGAATTAGAGGACATATGTAAAATATCATTTTTACCTTTCCACCAACGTGCAAGACAAACGCTAGTAAAACTGCAGATGGGATTCCCACAAGATAATATGATCCGAGATTCACATATGCACCAATTTTCTGCCAACCACATCCTCTAGCAATGCCTGCATTTTGTTCATTCACATACAAACAGATTCTTCAAGATACCATTACAGCATTACTGTGTGCAGGTAAAACGTGTAAATAGGAGGATCAAGTTATGGCAGACTGTACAAATGTAATCCCGAGTCTAATCTTAACAAAGAGAAGAACAGAGAGATTTAGCAAGATTTACCTTCTCTGGCATTCTGTAAAGATTTTGCTGTATAGTTTTTTAGAAAATAGACTTTCAAAAAGATAATGTTTGATTTCTTATGACCCAACTCGAAACAAAAGGTACTTTTTGCCTATGTTTTTATGGGAAGGCATAGGATTCCTCATCCATTTCCATTCAACGTCTTAATGCCCGACTTGAAAATGTCATCTAGACAAGTTGGCTCGGGAGTAAATCTTAATGATAGGGTCACAATCACTATAAGTTACCTACTAAACTAAATATCTCATAAGTTTTTACACCAAAAACTATAAGGTCAGGTCATATAGTTATCTCGTAAGATTAGTGTATATTTATGTAAGTTGGTTCAAACATTCACAGCCTTCAAAAAAGCCAGAGCTAATCAAAATCTATAAATAGAAGTTGATCTCTCAATAGTAGTATCCTAGATGTCTAGTATACTAGCAGAAGGCAGTGTATCTCGCAGTCATTTGAACCTCTACTTCAATTTTCATTCCAAGGCGAGTTGGATTTAAATGAAATGAAATGTATAGAGAGAAGAAAAATATATGATTGTAAAGTATTAGAAAATAAGAACCTGAAAGAACACATTGAAGTCCATCGAGAAAACTGGACAGTGCAATTATGGGAAGCATGTCTGCTACATATCTGACCACTTCTTGTTCATTGCTATAAGCATAACCCCAAACATTACGTACAAGAATCAAGACAGTCCCAAGTAGTAGCCCCTCGATAACGGCTATTGTCATAACCAGACACGCTGCTAGCTTTGCTGTGGTGGGACGGCCAGCTCCTAGTTCATTTGAAACTCGCGTGCTTACCAATGAAAATAGGAACATAGAAATCTCATTACGTTTGTAGTCTATCCATTCTAGTCAGAAATGCAACCGTTCTAGTTTCCAAATTCAGGCAAGATGGAGAAAAACATATGAATAGTCATTTTTAAGTTATTGTTAGAGAAGATGGAGATTCCTATGAGAAACAGTAGCACATTTACCTTGCCGCAGCACTCAGACCCATTGGGATCATCCAAACTGTTAAATCTGTATTGAGGCTGATAAAGAAACGTGTTAGTCGAGTTAAGAAAAAGAACTAGCTCCTGAAGAACTGATGATGTCTCTAGTTTATACCTAATAGAAAGTACTGATGTCTCCAATTTTGGATTTGATAGAAGCCCAGATAGAAGAACCACCATCTCGAAGGACCACAGTTCCAGGCTGTTGAAAATCTTTTTGAACATTCTGAGAGAGCTGCATCTTTGTGATTATGATAAAAGGAGAAACAGTAAAAGTGAGAATTACCAAACCATGACAGCTGAAGGGATTGCAAGTTTAAGGAAATATGGGATGTTGTGAAAAGCCTGCGCTGAAAAGCCAGTCCAAGACTTTGAACATGAAGAAGAAAACTTAACATAAAGTATCAATATCAAGGCATTGATCCAGTAAGAGATGGAGTTTGCCACGGCGGCTCCTCGAGTTTCAAGCCCAGCTTTGAATATCAGAACCCAACAGAAAAGGATGTGAAACAAAGCTGCTATTCCAGAACTCATCATCATAGGGAAAACAATGTTTTGGGTCTGTAAGAATCTGTTCAGGCATTGAACAAGACTATGTGCAAAAAGGCTTGGTATCAAAAAAAGAGCATATTTCCCAGCTTCTGCTGAAATTTTAGCATCTTGGCCAAGTAATTTCAGGATTTCTCCTGTGTTAGCCCAGATGACCGCAAGAGGTATGCTCACAAGTAAGAGAACAAACATTGCTCTTTGCATATGGATGCCCAGCATGTGGTACTGCTTTGCTCCATAAGATTGGCCACAAAATGTATCCAGAGCACTAGCCATCCCTATCTACACATATATTCAAATCAAGACCAGTTTAATTGAGATGACTAGTTCACAAAACTAAGTGCCTCATTCTAAGTGAAACATAATTCAATATATGAGATATCACGTATAGAAACTAATATTGTGATAGAAACCAGAGTCTTGGAAATTACAGTGAAATGTGAGCAAGAAACTACGGCAAAAGTGTTTTGAAGTATTGGATCCTTTCCTCTTGAGAAGATTCAAGACTAAGTGCCTGATTCTACTATATGCTATTGCCTGACTTTCCAAGTCCCTCTTATTTATGAGAAACGGCTAAATTACAAAAAAAAAAAAAAAAGAAAAAACCCCTAAATATTGCCATTTATTTAAAAAATCTCCTATCATCTCAAAAGTTTCAACACTACCCTTAATCTTTCTCAAAGGTTTAAAAATTACTCTTTGAACAAATGTCCGTTAATATTTTTAATGGAAAGTTGACGTGGTATAATTTGGAATGACGTGTCAATTAACGTGGAATAAGCTCCTTCCACATTTCCTCTCTTTTCATACTTAATTTTGCCATAAAAATCTTCTTCCTCCGTTGTATACCCAATTTTGCCCTGATCTCCATTTTAAAAACCATAGCTTCTTCCACATTTCCTTTATTTTAAAATTTAATCCAAACAAACTTCTACGTTAATATCCTCGTTCCAGATTCTACCACGTCAATTTTCTATTCAAAATATTAACCTATGTTTGCTTAAAGATATTTTTGAAACGTTTATATAAACCTTTAAAAGAATAGAGATATTTTTTTAAAGAAAGGTAAAGTTGATGGGTATTCTATTTTTGTAATTTAGCCTATAAGAAACAGTCTCTAACAACTACTTTTCTAATTACTATATTACCCCTCTTCATTGGTCATATTGCAGAATCCAAAAGGGATTTCAGCAAGCATCGACAGTAATTATAGTAAAATGTAACACTTCAACCAAAAGAAGCATCGAAATCAATAGTAATTATAGTAAAGCGAAGTAGTTTCTTGCATTTACTGAAAACCAAAAGAACCATCGAGAAAATGTGTGTTTCCCAAGAAAGAAACAGAAAACGAACTCACCATCACGCTGAAACCAGTGACGGATGCAAAAGAAGCAGCCATGGAAGCACCGGAGAGAGGCAGTTCGCCGAGATGACCCACAAACATGATGGAAATCATCTGCAAGCAGTACTGTAGCAGATTGACCGATATCAGAGGCCCTGCTAGCCATAGCTGCTTCTTTAATTCCTCGGCTATTTGATTCCTTCTACGGTTTTCTTGTTCTTCGGATATGTGAATCAAGGGTGAGCTCATTGACGAGTTCTGATCTTTCCCCATCATTTCTCTGCTTGCACAGAACGAGAGGAGATGGGGGAGAAATATCAGAATTCAGACAACTTGGGCTTTTCATTACTCGCTATTTTTGTCTGCACATTGTTAAAATACCTTTTTAATCTTAACCTTTTTTTTTCTTCTAAATAATTGGCCACTTTTAGAGATATGATATGGTTTTTAATTTTTAAAATTAAACATTCTTATCATTCTTTTTTTCCTTTCCTATTGAGTTCAAAGTCAGTTTCAATGTTTGAAACTTATCCATTTTTATAAATATTTGTAACTTCTATTTAACTGTTGGATGCTTTTTTTTTTAGATTTCAAGCACGTCTGGTCTCGACCCCCTACACCCAACTATTTAGTTAGAAGACTTGTTAGGCCGTATGAATCAAAGCAAGTGGGACCCTCCATAGCAGCATCCTTCTATAGTCTCACTGGCCGACTTGACCCACGTCTAAAATCACTTATATATCATTGTCAATCATTAGTGCTCGTTTTGAAAGCAAAATCACTTTCATTTTAAAAAGTAATATTTTACCATCCTACACACAAATGACAAACATGCCCTAAATATGATTGTTCTGTAGGATGATATTTTTATGTTACAATTAAGCTTGCTTGCTAATGAAAATATTTTTGAAATTTAACATTTTTTTTTAAATAAAAATTTATGTGAAAGTGGAGCGGAAGATTATGGTCTCTTAATCTGAAACAGGTGTCAATTACCGTTAATCTAAGCTCTTGTTGGCTGTTATCTCTGCCTTCGATTTCTAATGAGCTATTCAATATACAAACAAAGTAAAATTGAACTATTGAATTCAAATATAAACTGCACCTAATGGGTAAGCTAGAATGATATCCAAACAGAAGGAAACTGAGAAATCTAACTTCAAGGGAAACAATCTTTAACTAGTTGTTGTCCATGAGCCCTACTGCAAAAGCGAAGCCTTGGAGCTCGACGTCCACTATTCATTGGTTTTCAAAAGAAAGTAACTTCACATCGAGATATCGATTACAAAGCTTATCCACGAAGAAACTCTAGTTTCACGAAACGACATTGGTTGGAATTATTGCATCGTGAACTCGTTCTGAAGCTAGCTTTGCCTGCAATAGAAAAACTGATTTCGTTAGAATCGTTGAGATTTCCCTTAACGACCTTCTCATTAATTGGAAGACATTTTGTAATTGCCCCTGGGGCCTTTTGTATATTTCATACCATCAATAAAATACTCGAGAGAGAAAAAAAAAAAAGAGATTTTATTCAAGAGATATACTTCTTGGTCCCAGTTGGAGCGAATGGTAATGATAGCAAGAGAAAGTGTTTGGACAACGAGTGCACAAATGTTGCCGAACCACAGCCCCTATTAAGAAGAATCATTTCCAATAGAAAAAGGTTCAAAAGTTGTGGTCAGTAAGAATTGGAGGACATGTGTAAGATGGTGAACATTAAGAGTTGGAGATCATTATGATTATCATTTTTTTACCCTTCCACCAATGTGCAAGACAAAGGCAAGCAGAACTGCAGATGGGATTCCCACAAGATAATATGAACCAAGATTCACAAATGCACCAATCTTCTGCCAACCACATCCTCTAGCAATACCTGCATATTATTTATGGACATACAAACAGATTGTTCAAAATATTATCATTTTGTGCAAGTAAAATGTGCCTGGTTAGATTGCAACGGGTAGAAAAATCAAGTGCAGTCAGAGGAGGATCAAGTAATGGCAGAATGTATAAATCTAATCCCAAGTCTAATATCAATTAGAAGGACAGAGAGATTGAGCAATTTGGACATGTCCAAAAGATATAGAGTAAAACTCATTTGATTGCATATCGATTAATCTACATATGGATTGAAAAATGTGATATCCTGTAAAGGCTTTCTGCATTTTTTTTGTTTTACACAAAAAATGGAGTGTGATATTTTATGACCCAACTTGACAAAAGTGGTACTTTTTGTCTAGGTTCTTATGGGAAGGTGTATAGCATTTTCTCGTCGATTTCCATCGCACGTCTTAATGACCGACTAGAAAATGTCATCTACAGTCTGGACAACTTGGCCTAGGAATAGATTTTAATGGTAGAGGCTAATCACAATCACTATCGGTTGCCTACTGATCAAAGGGGTAAACTATAAACTCTAATGTCCTTGAGCAGAGGTAATGCGAGCGAGATTAGTGTAGCATGTGCATTGGTTCAAACATTCCCGGTTATCAAAAAATCAAGAGATAATCACAGAAAAAGAGTCCCATCTTCGAAAAAGAACTTGGTCTCTCAACAGTACTTTACTAGCAGAAGGCAGTCATCTTGCAATCATTTGATTCCTTTCCGAGGCTGGCAGCTGGGATCAAATGAAATGAAATGTATAAAGGGAAGAAAAATACATAATTGTAAGGTATGGGCAAATGAGAACCTGAAAGAACACATTGAAGTCCATCGATAAAATTGGACACTGCAATTATAGGAAGCATGCTTGCTACATATTCGACCACCTCTTGTTCATCGCTGTAAGCATAGCCCCAAACATTACGTATAAGAATCAAGATAGTTCCAAGTAGTAGCCCTTCAATAATGGCCATTGTCATAACTACACGCCCTGCTAGCTTTGCTGCTGCGGGATGGCCAGCTCCTAGTTCATTTGAGATTCGCGTGCTTACAGAATGAAATGGAAACAGAGAAATCTCAGTTACATTTGTATTTTTTCCATTTTAGTAAAAAAATGCAAGGTTTTCAGTTTCAAATTCAGGCAATATGGAGAACAACATGTGAAAGTGATTCAATTGGAAGTATTTGGTAGAGAAATTAAGTAGAGATTCTAATGAGAAACTGTAGCAAATTTACCTTCCTGCACCACTTAAACCAAATGGGATCATCCAAACTGTTGCAGCTGTATTAAGGCTGGTAAAAAAATGTGTTAGTGAAGCTGGAAGCGACTAGATAAGAAGAAAGAAGAAGAACTGACGTCTCTAATTTACCTAATAGAAAGCACTGACGTCTCTAATTGTGGATTTGGCAGAAGCCCAGATAGAAGAACTATCAACTCAAATGACCACATTTCCAGGCTGTTAAAAAATAAATCAACATTGTGAGAAAACTGCATCTTTGTGATTATGATAATAGGAGAAATCGTAAAGTGAGAATTACCAAACCATGAGAGCTGAAGGAATTGCAAGTTTAAGGAAATATGGGATATTGTGAAAAGCCTGCATCGAAAAACCTGTCCAAGACTTGGAACATGACGAAGAAAACTTAACGTAAAGTATCAACATCAACACATTGAGCCAATAAGAGATGGCGTTCGCCAAGGCCGCTCCTCGAATTTCGAGTCCGGTTTTGAATATCAGAATCCAACATATGAGGATGTGAAGCAAAGCTGCTATTCCAGAACTCACCATCATAGGGAAAACAATGTTTTGGGTCTGTAAGAATCTGTTTAGGCATTGAAGGAGACCAAATGCAAAAAGGCTTGGTATCATACAAAGAGCATATTTCCCAGCTTCTGCTGAAATTTGAGCATCTTGGCCAAGGAATTTCAGGATTTCCCCTGTGTTAGCCCAAATTACTGCAAGAGGTACGCTCACAAGTAAGAGAACAAACATTGCTCTTTGCAGATGGATACCCAACATGTGATACTGCTTTGCGCCATAAGATTGGCCACAAAATGTATCCAGGGCACTAGCCATTCCCATCTACACACATAATCAGATTAAGACCATTCTAGGTAAGATTTCTAGTTTTAGAAACAAATTTCATCATTCCATATGAGTTTTTTCCGCGAACCAAACAGAAAATCAACTCACCAACAGGCTGAAACCAGTCACGGAAGCAAAAGAAGTGGCCATGGAAGCACCGGAGAGAGGTAATTCGCCGAGATGGCCTACAAACATGACGGAGATCATCTGCAAACAGTATTGGAGAATACTGACCGATATGAGAGGCCCTGCTAGCCATAGCTGCTTCTTTACTTCCTCGGCTATTTGTTTCCTTGTGAAGTTATTATCGTTTAATCGTGTATCGCCATTGGAACTCACTCCTTCCGCAGATATGTGAATCAATGGTGAGCTTAACGACGAGCTCTGGTCACTCTCCATTATTTCTCTGCTTACGGAGAAGAAGAGAGAATGGGGACAGGACGCTACAGTAATATATATAAATATATATATATATGTAAAATGTAATATATAATTTGAAAGTTTGAAAGAATGAAGCAGTGGAAAATTTGGAAATGACTTCTATGCTACTTGGGTCCCATTATCCTTAACATCTGTTAATTTAATATTTACATGACATTATTTAAAGACAACGTCCAAAGCCAACCTATCTTATCAATATATATCCATCTTTAGCTATGATATTCCTCTTCATGAGGAAGAATATTTGACTTAATCTACCTTTTTTTTTCCTACCTTTTATTTGTAGTAATGAAAATAGATATTTATTAGATAGAAAGTTTAGAGATTTATTAATATATATAAACATAATTTTATTTATTTATTTATTTATTTTTGACATAGCACAATTAAATTGAACGCGGCTCCTATGATATTTCTTATTTTCAGTATCAATATCTTCATTTACTTTTTTCTTTTAAAAACAGTTATTGAAATCTCAACAAAAATTTTTAAAAACACTTCTATCTCCAAGTATGTGACTTAAAGACTCTAAAAACATTCTATAATTTATTAAAAGATATTGATTGAGTGAGTTGGGGAGGGAAATTTTTATTTTTTATTTTTCCTTTTCTCTATTTAATATTGATTTTAATTTATCTATCCAACAAATGCTTTGATATTTATTTAATTTTTCTTAAAATTACACAAATCTTCATCTCTTTATGGATAAAAGCCGTGGTAAATAAATATTTATGTATAACAGTATAAGTATATATGATAATTTCAAGTTTGTCTATTTTTATTTTTTATTTAATGAGAAACAATTTTTTTAAAAGTTGCAAATTTGAAACAACACCTTTTAACTCCAATCTATAATTACGATTTGTTAACAAAGAGTATTCAAAAAGAAAATATATATATACACACACATAATTACGATGTGTTGTTAATATAATAAATGAAATTATTTATAGTTCAACCAACACTTCAGTTAAAAAGTGTAGGTTTAAATCTTCACCAATTATTTACACTATATTATAATATTATTTATAAAAAAAAGTAAATAAAAATGATTTACATGTGATAAAATTTGTAGCTTTCAATGGTCCTTTTTTTGTTTGGCAGCACGAAAATGTTGTTATGTAGTTTTTTCTTTCAACAATTCACAGTGTTTAGAGTTGCTTCGTAAAAAAAATAAAATATCTTTTGCTTGGCTGTAAATTAAAATGATATTGCGTAGATGAACATAGTTTGAATTAAAATATATTTATATAAAAATTTAATTAATTAAAATATTACTTACCTTTTCAATTGAACTAAAATAAAAACTAATAAAATCAAAATATATGTTTCTAGGGTCGTGATTATATATATATAATTCATTCTAAAATTTGAAATTAGAAGGAGTAGATAATAATGTCCAATTATCTTCAAAAAAAAAAAAATTGTTATTATGATTGAAATTTGCATTACCAAGAAGAAGACACAGAGCTTTCAGAAATGGACTTGTTCCAGAGGAAGCATTAAAACTGGCAGCTACTTGATGATCGACGGCTTTATCTACACATCAAAGAGTCAAAATTGGTTTGTTCATGAATTTAGCAAGGATTGTGTACGCTCCTTGAGAGTTGGAAACTTGAGAGCCGGTTTGTTACCAACTCAGATTCTGTTTTTTCTTTTCAGATTCACTRGATCAAATGGATCGAGCGAATATGCGTTTGTCAGATTTTGGATATTTGATTATAAACATTATTTTCGGATTATGTGATCCGAAATTCTAAAAACGACTTTTTTATGTTTTCAATGTTTTCATATTTAGAATTTGAAATTTTTAAGATGCGGCATTAAAAATCATAAAAACTTTGATAAATATATTACTTCATATTATAAACTCATTTTATGTTTGTTAAAATTAAAAATGTAAAATATAATGTATTCTAAATTATATAAGCATGTAAAATAATAATTATATAAAATTTATAAAAAAAATGTTAATCAATTAATTAATATATATTTAGATTAAATTAAATTTAGTTTGTAACTACTCTTAGTTTATAAATATATTACTAAACACACCTCAACAATTTTTTAAATTGAGATTCAATTACCAAATCTGCTACCAAACATAGATGTGAAAACACAGAAAACAAAGAATAAAACTTTGTTTTCATCGAATCCTTTTGTTTTCAAATGTCTGTTTTTTTATTATCAACCAAACATACCCTAATTGTCTTAATTTAATTTTCTCTTWCAATTTCTAAAAAATATTATTGTTTCCCCGTAAGAGAGAAATTATAGTTGATTAAGTGGGTWGATTAAGAGGACTTGGAAAATAATTCATTTAAACTGAGAAATATATTCTAAAATTTGGTCAATTATTATATGCTTTTAATTGGTCAAAGAAAAAAAAAAATAAAATTATGAGTATGGATGTGATTGGCATACTTTAGCAGCAAGTCTTAGAGTTTGAAAAGTCTTTGTTTTCTATTGTAATAATTACCACATTGGTGGAGGAAGGAACATGGAAGATGATGAATTTAAAAGTTGTATAMAAGTTTGATTTTAAAGTTTCTCTTAATTTACTTTTTCTAAATTTTCCAAATTTTTTTAACTATATATATAAAGTTACAGCGTACAATTTACTCCTCGTAAAAATCTTTAGTTCTATTCTACCCCTCACAATCACTAGTAAGACTCCATCTCCAACAATAATAGCACTATTATAGTTCATATCATATGTAACGTTAAAATATTGGATTTTTCTAAATATAGTAATAATTTAAGTTGCAGTATGAATAAATATAAGTGATACATAATACCAACAATTTGATGTCCTAGGTTCATTTAATGCTACAATATAAAATGATAAAATGTCAACGAAGGTAGGACCAGGTGGAAGATTATTATTATTATTATTTTTTACCCTCCCACTTCTAAAATTTCAGTCTTTGGAAATATGTTGCTTGAGGCCAAATTCCTTGAAAAAGTTGATATTATTATTATTATTTATTTTTTTTGTAATTGTTTTTGTTGATGTATGAGATTCTGATGGAGGTGAACAATGATGATGTTGGATTTGAATGGGTGATGACTCAGCCAAAGTTCATGTGTGGCCGAGGTGCTCTACCTCGGAGAGGCGTGTGGGCCCCACCTACTTGGAGACTTGGAGTCGAGGTGTGATTTACTTCATCTTGATTTTTTTAGTACAACATGTGGAGTTGGGGATTGAAATCACAATTTCTTGATAGGAGATATATGTCCATTAGTGCTCAGCTATGCTGGCTTTGGCACCAAAAGATGGTATTTAAACACTCATAAGAGTTATTTATTATTTCTAATCATTTTAGTCTCAATAAAACGTTAAATAAACATAACTGAAAGGTACCTAATTAACGAAATTTAGAGATAGGGACAAAATCAAATTGAAATTTTGTTGTCACATTTGAGGTGGGGCTTGTTTTGATTGGCAACATTCTCGTCCCAATGTCACAACTCACGACTAGTTCCATGTGAATACGACATTTTATTTGTTTATTTTAGACTGTTTTTGCATAGGATGCGATTGAAAAAAAAACGATTAAATTGAAAATATGTTCGAATCATAGGAATTAAGTTTAAGGATTAATTTGAAAGACAAAATTAAAATTAAAACAAAGTTATAAGAATTGAAGTGAAACTTTTAAAATTATAGGAATTAAATTAAAATTAAGTCTAAATTATGAAACATAAGGAGACATCCGCGAGGAAATCTGACACCAAGTCCAAAGACATTGGCGAAGAAAATTGTAAAAACTGAAGGAAATAGGCATTAAAATTTTTTCCAATATTGAAGACGTGAATGGTTGTAATAAATCATTACATCACAATCCATTAAATTAAATTTTAAAACATTACATTAACACAATCAATTATTTAAAGAAATCTTGTGCCATTTTTTTCTCGCTTAATCTTTTATTTCTTTTATTGTGTTTTGTTTATTTTAATATTTTAATCAAACTTAGTCATTATACTTTTTAGAAAAAGTAAGATATTAACAGACATCCTAAATTTATTATGGAATACAATCTATATTTAACATTAGTAATATTTGTGAGAATATGTTAGAACAGTAAAATATGGTGAACAAGCAAGGTATACAAGCAGACTTCCAATTCTGCTGTAGCTTTTGAGGGCATATTTTGGTTCCGTTGGCCTGTACAGGAAGGGTAACAAAAATCCCAGTACAACAGCTTCTCAAGCAGCAATCAATCAACCATGTAGCCCGGTTTCTCGTCTGGTGAATTTCTATAGCCTATTCCTTAAATCTATGGAGGAGGATTATTAACATTGTGCCTACAGTAACTTGCTTCCTTTTGCGTTAAACCTTGAGTTTTCGTTCGAGAAGAATAGTGCTCGGTGCGCCCTTGCAAAAATGTATGATTCAAGGTCATCTCTGAGCCGAGATCTTGTACTCGCGATTGAACTTGATTGACTGTTGCCTAGCCATGGCCAGAAAATTGATCTCCCTCAGTCTTGAAAATCAAAACTTCAAACGTCAGTGAGTTGCACAGTCATTCAAAGCCGATAACGAATCCACGATTGTGGTCTTTTTCTACTCATCTATCTGTCGATCTAACTCCATTTGGCGCTCCGAAATGATGTTCTATCATTATTCTTTTTGCTTTTTTTTAGAAGTATGGAAGCGTGGTCAATAGCTCGGGAAGATGAATGCGTCTCGCCCTTTAGCCATAGCAGAGCCTCAGAGGCTGCATCCTTTTCTGCAAGTTTCTTGCTGCCACAGGGTTGGCCCACAAAGTCCAACCCGTTGAAAATAACAGTGGAGCGGAACTGGTTAGCTTTCAGTTGTTTAGTTTTGTAAGTTGGTGCTTCATGCCCAGCTCTCAGAAGTAGGGTCTGAAGCTGACTCTTAGAGTTATCACCCCCACCTCCATCACCGTTTCTCTGTTGAGGTAGGCTGTCGCTCGTCACCTTCTTTGATGGTACAGGCACATGGCGACCAAACACAAACCTACCCTCGCAGCGGTCCTCTGACACCAACAACCTTATCGCTGATAATAGTTCATTGTGTGGCTGCATATCTAACTTCGGATTCAAAAGCTGCCAAAAGAGTGCACAAATTGAGAAGGGGGGACAACAATATCCATCACAAGAATACGTAAAATTTGGGATTAAGAAATGTGGTGAGTAAAGGGGAAATTTGGAACAAAATATGAGGTTCTAAAACAAATATATATACAACTTACTTTTTGATGAACAAGTTCTTCAATCTCCCTTTTAAGGCTCAAATAAGTCTCGGCCAATGCTGGTGTCATGAAAAACTCCAAATAACCATCCAGCATTTTAAGGTGACCATCCTATAAAATTCAAATTATTGGTTAAGCACAGGATCTAATTTTGAAAACAAATTGTGAGAGTAATATGCTGAAGCAAAGTTGAAAAAAGAAACCCGTACAAGTCCTCCTCTTGAAACATTTCCTCCAAATAAAAGAAGGATAGAGTCGGAAACACCGCTCGAGTCCCGAAGGAAGACTGAATTGACTTTCACCTTTTCATTAAACACCAGCCACGGGTAGGGAATTTTTGGATAGCCAGCATTAACTGAGTTCTGTTCAGTTAGTCAAAAGATAATTTAAGTGAGTCGTTTCTCTTAATGCTCGAAGACCTCCATTCAATAATTGGAAGTAAACCAAGTAGCCAGTAAATGAGAAAAACTTACCGAATAAAGCATAACCTGACCATCTTCCATTGTTTTCAAAGCTACTGATTTCTCTTTGTTCTGTTCAAATCGATTCTAGTCAGTGCCTACCTAACTTTTATTATAAAAGCTTTATGAGTAATCAGTCTAATTAAACCATAAATCAAGTTCTTTCGAGAGTTGATGCAGTGATTTATWTGCTCAGTGGAACTTCAAATTGGATCATAAAAAACAATACCAGCAAAGCCCAAGCTATCGCAATTTCAAATAAATGAAATCCCAAAGAAAGGAGAAGAAATGAAAAAGACATAATGAATGAAGTATCAAAAATAGCTTACCACCACAGAGCAAATTCCAGGAAACAGACCAGCACAGATGACTGCACGGGTTAAATGTTCATCGTGGTTCGAGATGTTGAGCTTTTCTGCATCAAGATCAACTATACCAGTGTCCTTCAGCAAAAAATAGAACTGTTTCCTCAGAGAGTCGATGGCTCTGAGAGTTTGCATGGAGAGGAAGTTTCTCCAACAGTACTCATARCCGGATTGCTGTCTTTCAGCATCTCTCCAGCCCTCATAAGCTCGAACTAAGGCAAGATGATCACTACAGTCACGGGCAGCAAACTGTGCTTTTGCTGATTCGGCTAACTGAATCAGGAGAAGGACCCAAATTAAAACCATTTTATTTATGCTTTAACAGATGGTTGTAACAAATTAAGTTTATAGCAGCCACTCCTGAAAAACAGCCTCTCATCAAGTAAATAATAAATGATTTACTATGACATGATGGCAAACTTACATCCTTCTTATCAGCTGGCATTAGGAAAGGATCTCTGACACTAAGACCAGCAACAATAGTCATAATCGGATCGAGACAGTTGAAAATAGCTCCTAATATAAGCATTTTTCCCAGTTTAGGCTCAACTGGAAGAACTGACAAGTGTTTCCCTGCAGGATGACAAACCAGAGTTCAATGCTACTGCCCTTTGTTGAAGTAAAACAAATAACAGTACTAAAATTCAGAAATATTTTTCAACAAGTTAAGGGAAGGGAGGACAGAATTTGCACCAAGAACTGTCAGGTTTTCTTTCTCATCTAAAGCTCCAATTGTCTTCAAATACTCTATGGCGTTTTGAACCTTCAAGAAGAAAAATAACACATAGGCATGGTGGAATATAAACAATAGTCAATGGAAGCATAAATGCTAAAAAGTTTTGTAGAAAAGGCTCATCAAATTTATCTTCCATGGAAGATCACAACTGTAATACTGAAAAATTAAAGTTGGAATTACCGATAAAGGTTCTGGCGGCTGCAATGCATTTGATAAGAACTCTGATATACTGCCAAGTTGCAGACTCTTGATTTGCAAACACAAAGACTGCAATGGGGTCCTTAAAAGTTCTGGCATTTGATAATCAGCAAAAGCATCATGCACACATCTAGGATATAGATGGTAACACTCGCCAGGTTGAACACGACCAGCCCTACCTCTTCTCTGGTTGATGGGGGTGGGGGGTCAACAAAGTTAGTATTAATGAAAACGTTATTTAAACATCCACAAATTAAAAGAGTAACACTATATTCAATACAATAGGAATCCTTTTCTATGAACTGACTGAATTCCTTTTTATTTTCTTTTTTAAAAAATGTTGTGTTGCAGTTCGTAGACATGCACCTTTTAATTCAAAATTTTATAATACAGAAAACAAAATATATAAAGTTAAACTAGGATATAATTTTCGGATGGCTGAATCAACGTACAAATCAAGTATTATCGGATTATTCTTACTTGTCGTGCGGCAGCCTTAGAGATCCAGGATGGAAGCAAGCAAGGGGTATTATTTAGTGCATCATAGGATGTCTCTTTTGCTTTTCCACAGTCAACAACAAAAACAACGTCATTGATGGTGATACTGGTCTCAGCCATGTTTGTAGCTAGGACTATTTTCCTAACTCCATCTTCGGGTTTATCAAATATCAATTTCTGTTTCAATTGAGATATAAAATGGTAATTGTCAGATGAAAGGCAGCTTTCAAATTCAAATATGCCAAGCAATATATCATATTGGCAATCACACGTGCAAGTAATACAGTTACCTGCTCAGAGCTAGCCATCGAACCATGACATGCAAGAAGCAAGACTCTGCTAGGATCCCCTAATATAGGATGAGACTGGAGCTGGTCCTTTAAAGAGTTAATATCATCCCAACCGGTCATAAAAACTAAAATAGCACCTGGCCTCTCCCTCTTGACAATGTAAGAGAGGACATGCTCAATGAGGTTGAAACCAATTGAGTCAGGGTTCCAACAGGACAGAGAGTCCTGGGTCCTAGGACTGTATGCCGAAAAGTTAGCAGCCTCAAATGCATCCTACGTCAAAGCCAGGAGATTTAGCCCAGGCAGAGAAAAATAGAGAAAATAAGAATGAATTATCTGCTGCAGTAATTTCCATCAACTACGACATCCTGGTTCTAGTTTTTATATTTAACTCATTACCAAGTATAAATAGAATTACAATCTCAGACGATATCCCACTACCTGGTAGCAGATTCCAACAACTGGCATCTTCTTCTAGAAGAAGCTAGATCGATCCCTAAAATCTTCTTACTAGCTGCGCTACCATTAAAATCAATTTGCACCAATATATGAGAGGGAGAATATCTGTATACCTCAACAGATGAAGCAATCTGAGTCTTCCTTTTCCTTAGAGCTTGTGCTTGCTTCTGCATTTTCCATGCCTTTTCTTGACCATAGTCATCAATTTGATTATATTGAGTCAACCGATAGCCAGTCATTTCTAGAATATTTTCCAGAAAGTGTGCACGAACTGGATATGTAAAACCCTGAAAGTAGAATGGGTTAGAAGAAAGTTCATTCCTGGGAGCACTGTGTTTAATGGACTCATTGAACTCATCCAACCAATAGCCACGTTCACAAGAAGAGTCCCAATCCATTGTGCAAGAACCCCATGAAATAAAGAACCAGGAGAATGTAACATAGCATTTGCAATCTTTCTTTAATAGATATATAACAGGAGCCTTAAGGTAACAAGAGTCACAATACTGTGCCCCCCCATTAAAATATGTGCAAGGAAACTGAGATAAGACAGGCATTGAGACTCAAGCTTAAGAGTATAACAAATAACAGAGCACTGAAACAATTGTGCAACAAAAGAGAACTACCATTTTCCCATCTTTTATATATATATATATATATATATATATATTACATCAGAAAGAACAAATAAAAACAGAAAAAAATAAGAAAAGGAAAAAAATAAGAAGAAGAAGAAGATATGGAAATTCATTTTTATCCACTAAAGCTTGTAATTTAGATAAACTCACAGGAATATGCATTGTTGGGGCACCACCAAAATAAGAGGAAAAAAGTTCTGCATTTAGAGTAGCACTCATTAAAATCAACCTCAAATCTGGCCGTCGAGGAAGAAGATCTTTCAGGACAATCACGAGGAAATCTGGTAGAAAGATATAAACTGGTCAATCTAAATATTCCAAATTAATCAATGGCTACAACATCTTTATATTTTAGTGTCACCTTCATTAAAATCTTCAAAAATTAATCCATAGATACAATCTCATTATATTTTAATGTTACCTTCATTCATTCCTCGTTCATGAATCTCATCAACAATAACATGAGTAACACCTTTCAAATTTCTGTCAACAAGCAATCTTCTCAATAGTACACCAGTGGTGCAGAAGAGAAGACGAGTGTCCCTCCCCTTAATGCCCTCCAGCCGAACTTTATAACCAACCTTCCCAGAGAAGAAACAAAAAATAGAACTCGTGTAATCAGTAAGTCAAAAGGTTACCCAGAAAATAAAAATAATCAAAACATCAAATCTGCAACTTACAGATTCTCCCAGTTTCTCTCCACGTTCTGCAGCAACTCTTTCAGAAACAGCCATAGCAGAAATACGTCTAGGCTGCGTACAGATAATGCTACAAGAAGCTCCACGAGCAGCTTCGATCTCAGATTCTAATATATACTGCGGAAGCTGTGTGGTTTTACCACAACCAGTTTCGCCTGAGACAACAATCACCTGCATATCAATTCTTTTAGTTAGTTCATATTCACAATAATTTGTTTACATGTAATGAACAAAGCAGTACTATCAGCTATCCAAAAAAACAGTACTAACTTGTGTTAAATTTTAATTTCAGCATAAACTATGCTAATCATTAAACATAATCAAGTACCTGATTTTCTGAAATGGCCTTTAACAATGTTTCCCTCTCTTTGAATGCAGGGAGACTTTTGCGAAATTCCATCATCTTTTGGCCCTCAAGAGATTCCTAGAGAATTATCACATGTCAAACATGTAAGTACTTCAATAAATTGAAGAGAGGAAATGACGATGCAAACAAGAAAGCAACAAATTAGAGAGGGGATAATCCATAAAAATACAACCACCGGCAGAAAATTATGAATCATGAGTGATTGTATATCTCATATATGCCTTTTTTTTGTTGAACAAGATACAAACTTTTCATTGATTAATGAAAAGGAACAATAATGTTCAATGATACAAACTCCATTAGGAGTGAAAATAATAAACAAATAAACAGAAAAGGCATAAAATAAATATATCGAATGCAGAACCACTTATGGGGAGTTATAAATACCTCCCAATTCATACCAAGTGTATTGTTTTTTACTCACAAAAATAACGCTTGTATGAAGTTCAGCTTGGACAAGCTTATGTGAAATAACATTGGTTTCAACTTTGACTAATGACAAACTTGGCATCCATGACATTACCATTAATATTGAACAGTTTTAATACAAGAAAACCTTCCGCCTACCTTAGTTTATTAGGACCGATTCAAGTAGCGTTAGACCTTACAACTACCTCACTTGTTTTAAATGTGCAACTTATCTGAAATTGTAATTAAGAGGTTGCCTTTCCTCTTAACTAATTTTTAACTTTCAAAAAAATAATACCACTTAAGAAATTACCACCTAATCAACTAGAATGACTTAGTAAGCAGAGAGAGACATAGAAATCTATGACGTAGTTGTACTTATCATCTAAAAAAGCCAACCTCAGATATCAATTACCATCATCCATCACAAACTTGAGGCATTAGAAAGGGAGTATTTTCAGGCGGGCAAATTTACAGTTCATAATTCAAATGAATCGAGTGAGGCTTCACAACTCAATGATAAAATTAAAGGAAAAAAAAAGAACCTGCCAATCCTGTTGTTGATTCCTCAGTTGCAAACTTTTGCGGCGAATAATTTTCTCCATTACAACACTTTGTGTTGTCAAAGGCTCCTGGTGCTCAAACAGACCATTATTGTTAGCAACATTTCCTGAAATGCCAGATGTTGACAAGGAACTATTTGAAAAACGTCCTCTTGTTGTAGAGTTGTGCGATTGGTACAATCTTAGATGGGTTTCAACTTCCCTTTGGACCCCAAAAGGTAAGACCACCTGTAATGACAAGGAACATGAATGACTCAAGATGGAAGAAGAAGAAGAAATACTTGTTGCCTCGTAAACCAACTAATTGAGTGCTAAATAGTGAATGAAGTAAAAAGAAGAACTCTAGAAAATTTGGGAATGAAAAAGAAAGGGTACCTCTCTCTGTGGTCGCTTATCATCTAGATCCGGCCTGTAATTTGGCAGAGGTTCTTTACTAAATACGACCACTCTTGCATATTGACGGCTGCCAAAGTAATCGAATACAACAATAATAAGCGCCATATTGGTGCAGAAATAAGTAATTCAAAAAAGTACTCAAAAGAAAAAGAAAAAAATAAACTTGAAATACCTATGTAAACCCATTCTGGTTGCCAATGCTGAAAGCTGCTCAAAATCACGTCTATCCTTTTTCTCCCTTGACACCACTTCTTGATCATCATTATTGCGTAGAAGCATAGTTAACTTCCATCTCCACTCATCTATGTTTTCAAGGGTTGATGCACTCTGGAATTCGTGAGACAAAAAAAATAAAAATGAACCAAAACCAAAAGGACACGAGATGACAAAATGAGAAATATAACAGAGACTGCCAGAAGTAGCTATTTCACTTTTCAGGAATCGAAGCTCGAAAGATACTGGGAATTCCAAAATCCAATCTCTAGATTTTTGTGCTAGCTACTTACACACTCGTTCAAATGTCATACACTGTGCACAAAAAAATACACTGTTTGAGCTCCCTCTACGGAAACATACTTCTCAATTCCAAAAATCACTCGTAAGGTAATCATTAATTGTAGTTCTTATCCTTTGGCACTACTCTCTTGCTTCCATTAACCAATCACAATTCGATTATCATAGACGGTAAGTAAATGCAACTCCAATCCTTTTCTAGGAGCTAAATACAATTCTATCTCACTTCCAGAAGCAAGAATCGTTAAAAGTGAAATTCAAAAGACGCAGAAGATAAGCATACCATTTGGCCAGGGGGAGACCCAAATTCGATGTCGGAATCATCACTGGACACATCCTCGTACGCAAACCGGCCATAATTGGAGGTGGGCTGATGCTGCCAAAAGGGGAGCGCGACATTCCTCTGCCTCGAACCCCTCACGTCGTGCTGCTTCTCCCTCGACGCAACTTCAACCCACTTGGATTGGCTCATACATCTGACACCGGAGACGGGACCCGGATGGTGGTGCAAGTTCAGAAGGCCCATGGAGAGTTTCCTCGAGAAAAAAAGGCGACGAACCCAAGGTCTGAAAACTGAGGAGGGTGTGTAGAATGGGAATGGCGAAGTGGGTCTGAGGGAAATGGAGACGGGGGCCCTGAAATAGCCGCGGAAGAAGATTGAGTAAGGCATTGCTGGCATGGGAAGTGAGGGTTCTGTTGGGTGTTGTTCTAGTTGCAGAAGTCGGGTAACATTTTCTAAAATTGGGGGTTTTGGGAAGTTGGAGGAGAGGCGCCGGCAGCCGGATGAGATTGCTGCGCCACGCTCTCGCAGCGGAACTTATTCAGTTCGTTTCAACGCTCAACCAAAAGATTGGATTTTTAGGTAAAATTTTATCTTATGAAGTTGTCTCCCCCCAAAGATAATTCTAATTTCTAAGAATCAGCCACCAATTTATTTTTAATTTTTTGAAGGAGCATACAAAATACTTTAAATAGTTAGTTGGAATTGTTTTGTAATTTATGAATTACATTTATAATTATAATATAGATCAAAGCGAGCTTAGTTCAATAGTTATGGATATATGTCTTCAATTAAAAGATTGTGGGTTCGATCCCCACTTTCACATGTACTAAAAAAAATGGGTGTCGCTTTTACCATATATATTTAATTATGTGTTAAAAAATTCATTATTTAAATTAAATATGTTATTGTTGCATAAGTCTCAAAAATATATATATATATGTTTTAGCAACAATAGAGTTCAAAAAATTTCAGCTTAAGTCTTATATTTTAGCTTTTTTTCAATTTAATATCTCATCATTAGTTATCATTAAAATTTAGTGATATAACTAATATCGTCAAGAATAAAAAATTCGAAATTTCTATAAATTGCTTGGAAAGTTGGAGGATAAATCAAAATTTAAGTAATAATATTATTGAATTGCCGGTGGTAAARTAACGAATTTTGGTCGCACTATTTAGAGGTCAGAAACTTTCATCTCTTAGTTACACTGCTCATTCTTTATATTTAGGTCTTATTGTGTTAGGACTAATATTTATTTATGGTTTTAGAAACTCGTTTTAACATTTATTTACCACGGGATATTAAATTGAAGTTTTCAAACATTATGGGCCAAAATATATTTAGTCTAATATTTATTAAATAATTAAATAGTAATAACAATGTTAAAACAACACCTTATTAGCTTCAAAAGTTTGTATATATTCAACTATTATTATTAATTTTTTTTAATATAACATACGAGGGTGGGGAATCGAACCACAATCTTTTAGTTGGAGATACATGACAATTATCGTTGAGTTATGTTTGCTTTGGCTCGATATTTAAAATAATTTTTTTAGTATAATATTTCAAATAATTGATTATAGTCTTTACGTAATAAATAAGTAAATAAATAAATAAATAAATAAATATATATATATATATTTGAAATATGGAAGTGTAACTGCACTGATTAATTTTCATTATGACAACAGCATATGAATCTTAATTTAATTATTAATTAACATGGGTACTAAAAAAATTAATTAACATGGTAAATTTTTGTTAATTTCTTTAAATAATTAACTTGGTAGGTTTTTTTTCTTTTTCTTTTTTCTTTTTTTATAGGAGTTAGCCATGCTATTTAGCAATAACTTTTCTTAATTTAAGATTAATTATATACACATTTAGAACTCTTTAATATATAAGTGTTACATTACAAAACATTATATTGAGCATATTTTATGTTAAAATGATGGACGAAAGGAATGGGATAAAAAATTAAATAAGGGACCAAAACAATAACTTTTTAAAATTACAGAAAACAAAACAAAATAATCGAAAATAGGTCGGAAAGTGCGGATAGGAAAAAGAATATTTGAAAAGTATAAGATTTAAAATAAACAAAAAAAAAAATCTTATAGGGAAAAACAGAATTCTAATGAAATAAATTCGTTAACAAACGATTCGGTTTGTTCAACCTGATTGTTTTTTCTGTTCTCCCAAACAAAAGGAACCAGAGACAGACAAAACAATGCAAGAAACTAGACAATTTAGTATGTTTTAAGATTGTCCCAAACAACAACTCCCATATTTCTTGTTTGGAGCAGAAACATTTGGGGTTACAAAAAAGTTGAAATTTATGCCATTGTTTTTTCTTTCTTTTTTATCTCTAACAAGACAGCATCCTTCATCTTGTAGGATCAGCCAATGGCTTTTCTTCTTCACAACTCTTCTGCTAAAGTAAGTATATATAGATGAAGATCATGAAAATATTACAGTTGTTCATGGTATGTCTGAAACAACATTGTCTTCTTTGTCCCCATTTTGGGCTTCCAAAAGGGGCTGTTTCAAAGATTTGTCCTGTTCTTCCAATGCCTTTTCTTCACTTTTCCCCCACAAAACTGAGTACAGCCCAAGTGTTATAAGAACAGCACCAATAAGCCTGCATTTGAATCATGAGAAAAAGGATTAGTCTCCATTCATGTCTGTTTATGAGCTATATATTTTGTTTTTCGGTTTTGTTTTCGGAGAGTCGATTTTACCCGCCGGAGAACAACTGGTCGCCGAGGATGAGAAATGCCATGATGACAACTAGGAATGTTTGCAGAGGCTGGAAGACAGCAACAAAGACAGGATCACTTTTGTGGATGCACCATGTTTGGAGAGAGATCACAATTCCAGAGGCTACAACACCCTGAAAAAATTTTAAAGCAACAAACTTTAATTCATCATAAAGTGCTTATAGAGAAAGTATTTTGATAAGCACTTTTTTCAAAGGAATCCCAAACACACTCTTATAATTGAAATGTATGGGAGATTTCAGAATTTGGAGAGGGAATTACAGCATATAAAATGGTGAAGAGTTCTTCTGCAGATTGGATTTTCCAGTACTGGTAGTCTGTTTCCACAAAGCCAGCTATGACTAGGAATTGGATCAGTCCAAAGAAGCATGTGTATGAAGTTAGTGTTAGTTTTGCTGGATATTTTTTCAACACAGAAGCCTGCAAAAAAAAAAAAGTGTTTTCTTTTTAAGTATAAACATGTCACGAAGACGTGAAAAGTAATGCTCGTGCAACGAACAGACACATTATTCTCGAAACTGTGATAAGATATWATCAATTTTCAACCTAGACCCACGTACCTTTAAACTCTACCTGAAAGGTCTTAAACCAATGAAGATGTTATCTTTCGGTTATAAATCAGTGATCTTTCTTTCTTTGGCCATAAAAATGCAATATAGAGATGGTTTTGGAAATGAAAATGACCTGAAAAACCATCCAACCAGCCCAAGAAAGGCAGTGGCCTAGCAGGTATATACAACCCCATCTCCAATTCTGCATTTTTGCTGTAGGGTCATCCATCTCCAAAATACTACTTCCTTGAGTTTGGTAGTTGTTGTGGAGAAGAGGAGGTCCTCTATAGAGAGTGATCACAGTTGCACCTCCAACACTTCCAATGGTTCCCAGAAGCTTTGCCAGACCATCTCTCCTTCTGAAGTTCACTTTCTCGAGCCTGAAACATGCAGGGAAATTCAGAACGAAAAGAACGTCGGTTCGCTGAAAGAAACAGAACATTCCACTTGAAGAAAACCAAATGCCATTAGAGCCTACAAGTATAGTGTACCTCAGAACAGAAGCCATGATAAAAGTAATAGCAGGAACTGAGTTTTGCATTGCAGAAGCAAAAGTTGGAGATGCATAATTCAGCCCCAAGAGATAAAATCCTTGATTGGCAGTGATCCTAAAACCAGACGAGTTCCATACATTTTACAAGATCATAAAGAATAATGGGAAATCAAAAGATTGGGAAGCTCTATTTGATCTCTTACCCCAATAAAGCTAGAAGGAAGAACTGAAGCAACAAAGAAAAAGTAAGAGGAGGCCTTTCATTCCTGAAAAAAGAAACAAAAACCAATAACCATATTCAACAGRTGAAAGAATGAATTATCACAAATCATCAAATAAACTTGTATGCAACCACTTTTGAAGCTTACTTCTCCAGAAAATAAGCAAAAGGACTCAACAGAGCTAAAGCAATCGCGTTTCGATAAACCGGGTAGACGACTTTACTAACGCCAATGTTTAAGGCAACTCTAGACACAATGTGAAATCCTGCATAGCAGAATTGCAGAGCAACCAAGGCAAGAAGGAGCTTAATTTTCTCAGAGACAAGTTTTCCCTTTCCCATATTTGTTTGTTTTTCACTCTCTTTTGCCTTAACACCACAATAATAAACTAAACCAAAAGTACCCCATGTATATATACATACACTATTTGATACTTGAAGGCTAGGCAACTACCACAAGGCATAATAATTCAAGGCCTGTCATAATCATGAACCTTTTCATTATTGGCAATATCCAGAGGCATAAAAAATTGATCTTTTTCATTGAGTCTAGTTTCTAACTGCAATTGAAACATCCCCAGAAAAAAAAAAAAAAGTTCTGAGTGTTGACTTTTGGATTGGATTTTGTTGGGGGGACAGAATTGGCATTAAGCATGTTAGCCAGATAATGAATGAGAGGATGATCTCAGTTTTATTTTGGCTGGGCAGCAAGATCCCACTTCCTATTTTATCTTCCTATATGATTAATTTAATATGACCCTTGTCTCCTAATGAGTTTGAATTATGATAATGAGCTTAATCATGGCTGCTTATCAATCCAAGTGTTGTACTAGACAGGAATATTATTTTATTTGTAAAAGAAAACATGATGTAATATCAATAATTGTTATGCATAACAGTTGAATTATGCAACTAGGATAACTATATTGATTGTGGTGTTGGTGTATCATATACTTATTAAAAATGAAAAAAATTAGGTCCATTGGTTTATTGTTAATGTTTTGGAACGAATCAAATGAGGGGAAGAACCAATGATGGCATGTGCTTGAGATTATTGATCAGACAATTTCTTTCCTTCTTGTTTTGTTTAATTTATTTTTTGTTGGAACAAATTATGTGTTGCTATTTTCTTCGCACAATATTTTGTGAAGAAATTGTGAGTGACAATTTAAAAAGGAAAGTTGTACACTCGTCGATCCCAAATTTTAAGAATGTTATAATGCAAATAAGAAAGAGTAGATTCGAACTTAAATTCTGAAAAAGAAAACAACGTGGTTTTACTTATCATGTATTAACCTAATTCTCATAACAATCCGTCGGAAAAAGAACTAGATTCACATAGCTTTTTCATGAATGGAAATTGAAGGAGGAAAGAAAGAAGGAAAAAAAATTGGTTCTTATTGTTTTTCAACAAAAGAATAGGAAAATGGGAAAGACATTTTAATTTGATTCCCTTTAATTAATAAGAGTTGTTCTCAATGGTCCATCTATTTAATTTTTTTTTATTAAAAATACAATAGAGAAATACACACAATACATTTATGTGATGACAAGTAAGGGACACATAGATCTCTGTATTACAATACAAATCAGACGAATCTCCATCAATTTTTACCTCTCCAATCATGAGATTCTTCCCCAAAAAGAAAGCATGTTGAAAAATGCTTCTTATAATCAGTCCAATATAATATGAAAAAGATAAACACGACATTCAATGCAGAAAGTATTTTGAAAAATTTATAATACTGCAATAGTATGGATACTAGTCAACCACGTCAGCATCAATTAAGAATAATGTAAGTTCAATATCATTCAAAAATGAGAAAATTGATATTACAAGAGTACTAGAAATTTTCTCGGAAATCATTTGCATTCTAAAAAAATAAAAGAAAGAAAGAGAATCCCTTTAAACTCTCCATGACGATCTCAATCCTGATTAGTTCAACTGGCCCATAGAAGCCAGATAGAAGAATATCACAAATCATGAACTTTAGGCACAGCCTCAGCAAAAAGGAAGCATGGAAAAATCTGTAGAAAAGTTAAATCATATTGCAATCAACAAGTCCCTAGTTTTTAGTGATTTTAGTTATGAATATAATTGAGTTCTAATCATGAAATCATCACTCCTGATTGTTTGGTCATGAACAAGAATACATATCTAAGCATGAAATCAACACTATAGTAGTTGTTTACACATATTCAACCAGCATACAAACAACTAAGAAAAAGCTCTACTTGCGTAATATTGTTGGAAGGTAATAACATCGGTATCTCACAAAATCTTGAAACTGAAATTGCTTCACACAAAATGGTTCACTGGGTACCCCACTGCTTCCACATCAGTTCCAAAACCTTGACGTCTCTAACTAAGCAGTCCACTTGTACAAAAAAGAAAACATCTTGGGAGCTTGCTTGTACAGTATCAGTAACACAAATCTCACATCATTCCTGATTATTTCCTGCTTAATAATTTGGGCTTGAAGACAATGATGATTGCAGTACAGTTATCTTTGCAGCGCCGCTCACGAATAGCTTCCCTCACAAGACGTCGACTTATTGATGTTATGGGCAAGCCATCCTGTGCAACAAGGATATCTTTGTAATCTTTGATCAAGATGAGTGAACACAAAACAACTTACCATAGTCACCCTCATGCAAAGGCCAGAATAGATACAACATTGACTTCATAGACCATGGTTCTCATGGAGAATTTAATAAACAGGTGGCTTGAATAAGAATTGGAGCAAAGAACAATGCTCCAGCTGCATAATGTTAAAAATTTATTTCATGCTCACGTTTAAACATAGTGAACTGGTTCTTGTTCATTGATTTTTTTTTTTTTGGGTGAACTTTCTTAGTACGGTGCAACAATAAAATAAAAACTACCAATTCCCTTTCTGCTCATGGAGGATGGATATTCTTAGTCGGTTGGTCTATAGGCTATGAACTATGGAGTTCAATTTGATTGAAGGCTTTAGGGTGGGATGAAAAAAGCTTCACTTGCAAACAACACAGTTTTGTTTGCTTCAGATGATAAAAGCAAGATAGATAAGATCTCTGGCATTGTCAAACCTCATGGTCAACTACAAAAGTAGTTTTGCAAGTGTGGATGTTCCTTGGGACATTCTCTTGTGCTCCTTCTCTTTGGTAAATGAATTATCTCAGTCTTCCCCTTGAAAGTCATTTTGCTCTCTAGATTTTTGGAACCCTATAGTTAACGAATTGAAAACTAAATTATATAAGTAAAGGAGTTTTGGCCTCTCCAAGGAGAGATTGTTTACTATTACTCAAGCTACATTCTCAACTATGCCTCCCAAGAAGATTGTTCTGGGTTTGGAGAAAATTTTCAGAGATTTCTCTTTAGGATGGTTTGAATCCAAATAAAGGTAGTCATTGAAACAACTTGACCCGGAATTCATTAAAGGCATAAACGAATGCCAGAATATTTTTTGATAAGAAAAACAAGAATGCCACAGTTACGGACATAGTTTGACATAGCCAACCAAAAATCATAAGAACAATGGAAACCTTGCTTAAAGATGAGATTAACGTGAAAAGTGGTGCCCCAAAGCAAGGGTAAACAAATAAATGAAGTAATTCCACATGATAATAAAGGGATCCCTCAGATAGATTGTTGGCAAAGTATGAAACATGTGCCCCTACCTTCAATAATTTCTGCACAAAATCGACAGCATCACTTGGTCCAAAAACCTAAAACAATTTCGAAAGAGAAGTCAAAATGAAAAGAGTAAAGGAGGTAGAGAAATGAGGGACAATAATAGGAATGATAGAACAAAAATGTCGGTAGTGAAAGTCAAACTAACCCCCCAAAGTCCATCACATCCGAGAATGATAAAATGCTCCCTATCAGTCAATTCGAAAGAATGAATGTCTGGGATTGCAATAACGCCCAACTGCAAGTGGCATGTGTTGTTGCTCAGATTTCAGTTCAAAAAATAATGCTAAAGGTAGAATGTTCAGTTGTAGAGAACGGTTGCCCATGTTATAGTTTGGTTAATGCCTATGCATAAAGGCAACTTAAAATAGAGCAATTTGGTTGTAGTTTTTTTTCATCATACGTAAAATGGATAGCCTCAGATTTTCGTCTATCACAGAAAAAAGATTGTTTATTAAAAGATTTCAGTTTGCTATAAATTCTCTCAAGATGCGATGTTTCTCATCCAAATTAATGTTTTCCGCGAGATTTTTAAACTATAAAGAATGAAAGCATGAACTAATGGATAAAAAACACGGGTGTATGGATGAGCACACTAAAACCTTTTTAAATTGGCGATCTCCAAGTGCTCGAGAAACTTCAAGCCGGCCCTGCAGTCGACCGTTTGAACCAACAACACCACCAGCCTGGAATAATTCATATTTCTTTAACTATAATCAGGATTGCAATGACTAGTGTAATTTGATGTACAAGTACAATGAGTAAATACAGGCAACAATTCTGTGAGGCACCAACCAGACAGCACATATCTAGAATTGTACAACATTGAACATTCATAGTTCTTATTTAGGTTGTTTGTTTCATGAGAATATTTGACAATCACATAAGATTACCGCTAATTTAATAGTTTACTACTGCATTTGTTTCGAACTTTCATTGGAGCATCCCATTCCTGACATCTGAATGCCCCTCCCTCCCATCAGTCCATCTGACCTTGCAGCCTAAAAGATGTGTATTTGAGAACCCAAAACATTGGTCCATCAGATGCTAATTTTTTAACTCTATTCATCAATTTGGTTAGGTTAACCCTTGGAAGTTGGCAGGTCTAATATCATGTACATCAAAAGTGCAGTTAAGTAAGCATAATAAAGGAATTATCTTTACTCAAGCCTACACTCCTTTTCCCTTTTAATGCTGAGGGTATCTTGATCGACTATGCATTTAACAAAAAGTTTAGGCGAGAAAATTGATTCGCTCCTTCAACAGTCATTTTTTAAATGTGAAAGTCTGTGATTATCGGTTCTTATCAGCCAAGTAGTAATTTGACAACTTATATAAAGAGCTAGCAGGAGGTAAGAGAACAAGCATATAATCCTTTCTCCAATCAGTTCCTCTCTTATTCGTTGCCTTGAGGAACTAAACTGGTCATGCTCTTCAATATATATATGCATACATATAAATTAAATAGTTGAAAGACATCCTGAGCCTTTTTTTTAACAAGGAATTCTTAAATGACAAGATATCAGATACAAGGCTCCAACTATCTA